GATAGTCTTGAATGCAATTACAAAATGTTGAAATGAATGCGCTTCTTTAACGGAAGAAAATCGCTTAGTTATTCAGTTCCTGAGGCACTTTGGACAAAAATAAAGAACCTAACAGCCTTATTTAGCGACAAAAAGGGCTTTACGCTTCAAAAGAGGTCAAAGCCCACTCTTGCATCAGAGGGCAAATCATGAAGGACATGAAGACCAGAAATTCAAAAACCACAGAAAATCAATAAGCGTGTCATGACCTCTCAGTGTGAAACAAGCGGCTAAAATCACATTTGCTTAGTCAAAACATAGAACTCTCTAGAGCATAATCTACTCGCCAGAAAAAAAAATGTATTGGAACAAGCAGCATTTTGGCATGAGGTAAAAGTGGTGTAGGTTTTAGTACTGCGAACAAATCTTGTCCTGATGACCAGTGTAGAAATCGCTTTGACTTTCTCATTGCATAATACACTCGACATTCCCAGCCGCTCCAATTCCAAAAGACTGACAGAAACGGAATAAACAATATAGACTTACAGTTAATTGACAGGCATCAATCTACTTCCCTATGCCGCACCAATCAGGAGCTCCGTTTGCCAGCGTACGGAGTTTCCCAAAAGAACAATGATATCGGGCAGGCGTATTTTTTTTTCTGTTTCGCTCGCTCTACTATCCCTGAGGAAAAATGGGGGACTACTCGTAGTCTATCGTACCTACCGTAAGGGTTACTATTTCTACTCTCCCCAATCTTTCACTTTCATAAAATCAAAGATGGCGGCTACAACAATACAAGGTTTCGCCCACCCAAAATACGCCTGGACTGCAGGCTAAACCAGCCTCCTCCTCAGGCGCTTCGGTTTTCGAATGGCAGAGGCGAGCGCGAAACGAGTGACTGGTGATGAACCGCAAGGGACCATGGGAAGGGTACAGACGGCAGTTGTCTCCTTCCCGCCTTCCTTTGCGCGCACATTTTCATCAAAAGAGAGATGTCTGGGTACGAGGCAGAGGCTAAACGGTTTCCGAAGTTCGTATCAAATTCCCTACGTTCGCTACGAAGTTGGCAATTTCATTACGCAGTTGTCAATCGAGTCGGGAAATTTGAACCAAAGTTGTAAATTTCGCGCCAAACTTCGTTGGGAAGTTGAGAGGGAAGTTCACGCTATTCGGTTAAACAGCCGTTTTTTTGGTAATTCCGTGGGATTCTTGTGGCACTCCCACGGTAAAAATCTGGTTCGGTTGTACCCAACATTGCAAAGCCAGCCAATAGGATTGCCTAAAATCTTTATCGATTATCTCTTCTTCCAAGCCGACCAATCAGATTTTACAAAATCTGTATCGATTTTTAATCGATTTGGTTCCTCTGAAGGACGTTGAAATCAGAACGTTCCTTGCCAAATTTGTAGCCCTTGAGTTTTGCCACTCGTGGTTTAGGATGGCTGTTAACCAGCGAAATCCTTCGGGATACTGGCAAGTCACGAAAGGCGACCTAAGCCAAATTACTTCTTCCCTTCATGATTCTTTTTTGTTTAGGTCTAGCTTTTTCATAAGGTTTTAGTAGCGTCTGGTTGCGGGCCATGATTTCCGACAGATTTTTCTATTCGGAGTTCGCCAGTTTTTGCCGAGCACAGCTAGAGTTCAGTTTTTTTCTTTTCTTATCGAAAACACCTTGACGATAGGAGGTTAAATCGCGTAAATTTTAACTCGTACCCTTGTCCTCGTCGATCGATGAATCGCTTTCGGCATGGATTGGACTTCTGGATGGGACACGGATCAGGACCTTAGTAAACGTATTATACCTTGGAATCAGGGATAATCATTGGAACTATGTTAACTTTGAGACCTGGGAAACAAACTGGAATTATTTTTTAACCGTATCAAGAGCATCTTGGAATATTAGACTTTCATCTTGGATTAAAACATTGGAACTTTATCGAACTTTGTAACCCTGGGTTCGACCCTGGATAAAGCAAGCAGATGTTTTGTTTTGTTTTGTTCCATTAACCTAAAACTACAATGTTTATTTCTCTCAGAAAAAGTTACCTGTGGCAACTTACTACCAAGATATGACGTATCTTTATACGTATAGTTCATGTTCAGGTTAATCAGAGAGCATTATGCGCATGTTCTCCATTACTTGTTTCCGTTAACATTCCAATTTAAGTACACGGGTAAACCTTGTTTTGATGCAAAATAACTTCTTTTTCTTATCCAAATCGTGCTACGAAAATAACTACAAAGCGATCAAAACAAGATCAACTCCATCCTTGCTACCATTGACAACTATAAATTTAGCTTGCGTAGCAGATGTCGAAAGGGGTAGGGGATAAAGGGGTTGTGAATTGGGGAGAAATGGTAGCCTGCCACACAGGCTACTATAAATTCAGTCATAAGCACATTAAACCAACCCATACAGGTAACCTACTCATCGATGCTCTTAACATGACACATCTTTCCGGTTTCACTAATTTTTCCAAATTCAGATAGAACGCCATTATGCTTCCATAGACCAACGCATCCCACCGAAACGACTTTAGGCGTCTTGTTATTATTAAAATGAATCCATTCTCAGTGCAAGGAAAAGCAATCTCATGTTCTGTTAGGGAGAAAATTATTGAAAGCTGGTTAGAAGGGAGAGGGCCAACACAAATAATGAAAGAGCTACGTCTACAGAAACAAACCTTTGCCAACATCGTGGACAACTTCGTTCGTAGAGGGAATTCAGAAGCCGAAAAACGGGGAAATAATACTCGGTTAGCGCGTACTGACGATGTTAATGTTTATATTGAGTACTGTAAAAAATCACAGCGCAGCATTTACAGCAGTGAGATCCAAAACAAATTGCTGGAAGACAATGTGTGTTTGCCTGAAAATGTCCCGTCGGGTTCATCGATAAGCCGTAGCTTAAATTAGCGTCATTCCGCAAGAATCACCTGAAAATGAAAACAGATTGTTTGAATACTTAACAGTTTGCGCGACTATTGATCCAAGGACAATGCTCTTTTTTGATGAGTCGTCAGTAGTGAAGACGATTGGAAACATACATTACGGACATTCAAGAATAGGCCATCCAGATTTGGAAGTTCAGCGATACGCAAGCAATGGTACCTTTACCGTAAATCTTCTGCATAACATGCATGGCGTTGGACACGTAAAAAAAAACACACGTCAGTTTGTTACCTGGGTCTTCTAATGGACTTTAACTTCTTAATTTCTTCGCAGAAGCATTAGAAGAAGAAGATTTTTTTGGGAACCCACTTCTTAAAGTTGGTGATACCGTAATTATGGACAATTCCGGTTTTCACCATGCCAGACATGTGGAACCAGTTTTAAGAAATATGTTGGCAGCCCGCGGCATTGCCTTGATTTATCAACCACCTTACCATCCCCAGTATAATACCTGCGAACATTGTTTCAGACAACTGAAGGGATGGCTTCGAAGGCACTCTAAGTTTGCCGAAGTTCACACAGATATTGCTATTTTCCAAGGTCTTAGCACAATCACTCCTGGAATGTCGCGGAATTTCTTCAAACATTGTGGTTACGTCGATTAGTAATTACTAGTTTCCGTTAATTTGTACTCCTAAAAATGTTTTGTAAAAATTTACTACTGAACAAATGTTACCAGACGACCGGACAAAAAAAGTATCCAGTAAAAGTTTGGAACGGGTATTTTCGTGAGTATCAGTACAGGTTTCAATTTCGTGTTTTTGAACTTTCTATTTACCGTAAATGCTAGAATTAGCGCCCAGCTTCAAAGAAGGGCCCCGCTTCGAATTAGCGCCCCCCAAGGCTCAAAATTTATAATAAGCGCCCCCCCCCCCGAGAAAAATGAGTTTCGGTACCCGGTACCATATACGAGACGTATACGATCTAAACGGTTCTTTTAATGAAATGTGACATTGTTAAATATTATAAACAGTAATGTCCTTTCAAAGTCGCACGGGTTTGCTTCTCATTTCCTTGATAAAAATATCCATGTGAGCACATAGCTGCTTCACTTTATTAAGTTCCTTGTAAAACTTTGCTCCCAATCGCCGTCACGAGGCCATTTTCAAGTCTCCTGCTTCCAGTGACTTCAACTACCACCTGATTATCCTCATGAGCTTGTAGAAAGGTAAACACGAGGAAGGAATGTGTTTTTTTTGTATGTTTAATTGAAGACAACTGGACATTAACCGCAGGCTTTTCTTTTTAGACAAAGCATTTCACAATAGCAAACGCATAATTTTGTTAGCATTGTTCTATTGCAGAAATAAAATACACTTTTTGATGAAAAAGTCTTAAGAACGTTTCGAGTTCGCAAAAAGTAGTTTTCTATAAGGTTTTTGAATTTTTATGTTGCAGTTTGGTTTTGAATAGAAATAAAGATAGTGTCATTTTGAGGCTAAAAATTGATAAACGAATAAGCGCCCCCCTTCGAATTAGCGCCCCCCTCTCGCCTTAGAAAATTAAATAAGCGCCCCGGGCGATAATTCAAGCATTTACGGTACATAGCTACACTGTAAACAATCGACTGGATCCGAGGTAAGAAGTTTTAGTTGAAGCCTACTCGTAAATTGGTTCGCAGCGAGTGTTTCAAAAATAATATGATACTTAATTTATTATCCATTTTGTCCTTGAAGCCGGTTTCCATCCGATTCGATAAATCTGCCATTATTTATGCAGTTCAATGTCCCACGCGGGCCACACGCATCAAAAGCAATTCGTAACTTGCGAACCTTCGAACGGTCACATAGCCTGCGTGGCAGGCCCCTACCCCCTACCCTTTTCGACGCCTGCTACGTGCTAACTGTCACATGAAATTCATCTCTTCGTTCTCAAGTTCGCGATTTGATTGACAACTGCGTAATGAAATTGCCAAGTTCGTGGTGAACTTCGGAATTTGAAATGAACTTCGGAAACAGTTCGTCAAAAGTTTTGTGAAACGCACTGTAAACAAGTGAGGTCGTAAAAATCTCCACTGCTCTTCGTACCAGAAATACGCTTTTATATCGTGATAGTAATTAGTCTCGATGGCACTTTTTGGCAACGTTCTTAGTCAGCCCAGTGTGGCAAAAGTTAGCGAAAGCGAAGGCAATGGAAGCTCGGAAGATGACAAAGGAAGAATGAAGCATCGATTTTCTGAACCGTGGGAAGACAGCGACCTGATTCTTGTGGTGGAGGATGAGAAGTTTCATGTTCATCGTCTCATAATGAGCATGAACTCACCAGTGTTCAAGACCATGTTCAAATCGCAGTTCAAAGAAGCAACCGCTAACGAGATTTCTTTGCCAGAGAAAAAAGCGAGTGAAATGTTGGACCTCTTAAAGCGTGTTTACTCAAACCAAATTTATGAAGAGCCGGTGGAAATCACTGTGGAAAACGTGGAACATCTTCTAAAGCTAAGCGACGAGTACCAGATCAAGCACATCTTTGATGCTTGCATCAATTTCGTTGAAACCCACCCAAAGACAAAACATAGTGTGGTGAAACTTCGAAAGATGGCGACGAATTACAACCTTGACCGTGTCCGAGACGAGTGCGACGACTTGCTCAAGAATTTGAAGCTGACGACACTAAGTGAAATTGTTGATTTGAAGAGTCTTGATCAAGAAACATTACAATATTTCCTGGAGCAAAGGATCAAGCGACTAGAAAATGTTTTGGATAAAGTATGTCCTGAATTTATGGGAATGGTAGAGTGTTTGTTTTGGCTGATGAGTGAGCCGACTAAGTTTTCCGTCAGGTGGTGCGAGCAACATGTTACTGAGGGCCATTTAAGATCCAGTTTTCAAATTGATAGTGAAGAGGTAAGACATTGCCGTGATTGTGGGATTATGTTTGATAAAATGCTGAGTCAGACCAGAACTCACCAGAGCAAGGGAGGAATATGGAATTACCGTTATGGAAATTACCGAAGTTATCATTTTGAAGACTTGCAACATGCCATCGATGAGCTCTCCAAATTAAAACATGAGGGTTAAACACGTCCTCCCTCACCCCACGCACGCCGATCATTTTAAAAAGAGATAATACAGTCGACTCTCTCTTAACGGACACCTCTATAAGACGGACACTTCTGTAAAACGGACTCCTAGAGTTGGTCCTTGCCGTTGTCTATTCCCTTTATTTGACTCTTTATAAGACGGACACGTGAATGTGACATCTCTCTAAGACGGACACTTAGTGCCAGTCCCAAAGATGTCCGTCTTGGAGAGAACTCACTGGACTTCGGTAGTGTTGCTTTGGCTTTAATGGAACTACAGCGGAAACATAAATGTAATCACAATTTAAACCCTGAATGGGATAACAACCCGTTTCGCTACTTGTCGAATTCGCATCGTCTTAGTTCACAACACCGCCGCCTGGTTAGCTCATTTTAAAGAGCGCCGGTCTGCTGCAGACTCGTACCCAGTCGATTCTCTGCATGCGCTGTGATTTATGGGAAGGATTTAGTGAGTTCACAGTGCATCACGTGTCATAGTTTCTCCCTCCTTCCCAGGAGCCTTTGCGCGCGTTAAATTGCCTTCTTTATGAGAATAAATAATAAGTGGCGACTGGATACTAGTCTGGGTCTGCTGGGCGGCAGGTCGTGGGTTCAAATCCCCGCCAGACCAACACTCAGGGTCTTAAAATAACTGAGGAGAAAGTGCTGCCTTTGCATTGACATCTGTAAGCGGTTAGACTTTCTAGTCTTCTCGGATAAGGACGAAAAACCGTAGGTCCTGTCCGTAGCACTTTCACTGATTTGTTCTTTTGGGACATAAAAGGACCTACACCACTGTTCAAAAAGAGTAGGGTGTGCTTCCTTCCCACACACGGAGAGCTTGTTAAAAAACGCTGACCAGTGTTCTTAGGGCGGGATATATGGAAGGCCCAGAATATGTATCAAGTTTACAAAACCTCCATAGTAATGCTGTAAGCACTAGAAGTACCTGTCAATTTGCTGTAAGCACTAGAAGTACCTGTTAATTTTCACTTTCTCCAGGTTGATTTTTTAAGGAGATATCTCATGGAGAATGTTGAAATACCATTTCTGAGCCTCTGGATTTCAAAATTTTGGGGGGGGGGAGGAGGAGGATGCCCTCAGACCCCCCTACAAACTCCTTAAAGGCCTCACAATAGAAGCCTCTAAACAGGTATACACTTCACTTCTGCAGCCATTATATGACTATGCTGATTTTCCATGGGGAAAATCTCAGAGGGATGTTGCAAAGAGTATTTTGCCTTATAACTTTTATTTTTCATCTCTTAGCACACACTTTTATATTGTCTTGGCTAGATTTCTCAGGGGCACCCAGGCAATGTCAATTTTCGGAAAATATCTGTTCGGAAGACGATGTGAGATCTAGAATTTTAGGAACATTTGTTGTAAACTCTCTTGCTTGCCTGCCTCTCCTAGGATTTTCGGACATCTAAAAAATGGTATAATTGCCCATTTTAAACAGATGTTTATACTAAAAAGGTCACCTAGAATTTTTGGGAGCCTTTTTTCTGGCTGAAATTTTCGAGAAGGTAAGTTTTGATCCCTATAATTTTCGGATCATTAGACTTTCAGCTGGGAAATCCGAACAGATGAAAAATTTTTAGGGAATAAAAATATGCCTACATCTACCGTTTAAATACGAAAATACGTTTAACAATGCTATGTTAAGTGGTTTTGAACTATATTCTCGCTGGGTGCCCCTGATTTTTATTGTAGAAATACTTTATAATTTGTCAACCAGAAATGTCTACCCTGAACAATAGAAATGAACCCATCTCAGGTTGAAGACTCTTAGGGAAATTTCTACTAAAAACTGCTCCAATTTATTGTATTAGATTTTGTCGCAAATTTGACAAGACCTTTGTGAGCACCACTTAATAAGCGATATCAGGAGCAGCGCGTCACGCCCAGTATTTATTGTTCTGTTTTCCCTATATCTTTGATTGTAACCGTTACTTTTGGCAGTTGCCTGATGATTACTTCGCCAGAAGCATGAACATAACATAATTAACATAACATAATTTATATAGCGCTAACTCCACTAATTGACCAAAGCGCTTTACAATTCATAATATTAAAATAATTAAAAATATCCCACTGGTAATAAAATATGAATAAATTAAAAACCTATTAGCAATAAATGTTCGAGATTTAATCCAGTTCCATCAGTCTGATAGTTGATTTTAATCATGCACCTTAGGATTTTAAAATTGTATACATCTTTATTTCTCAGGGTCCCTTTAAATTGGATACCGGCCTCGTTGCTGAATGGGCTACACTGGCTAAATAAAGTTACTTACTTAGAAACGAAACACATGTTCACTTGGTCTGGTGATACAGTTGTGTTTATAAGATCAGGTTTTACTATTTACGGATGTTACATTCAATTTCAATTCTCGCTCTTTACTGCTTTGTACTACTTTCATGATATTAAATTAAAATGACCCCCCAGGTGACGCTTCCTTATCTGAAAATGTTCCCCCCCCCGCCACAAGTCCAATCAAGATGTTGAAAATGACCCCCCAGCCAAATGGCCTGCCCCACATCACAGGTAATATAGGACCAGCCCTTAGCACAGGCACCTTTTCACTACTTATCGGCCCGCCAGAAAAAAGACGCCTCTGCAAGGAGGGAATCAGTGTTTGGGTTTCAATTTAGAATTTTTTTTGTACACGACCCTAAACGACCTATCCCCCTTATTTAGATCTAGCAGTGGGCTCAGGATTGTTCAAAGCTAAGGTTTTCAGTCATTTAGTCTCATTTTCACCGTTCAAAGTCTAATTCTTGGCCCAGTTTGGTTGATTTTCTGAGCTTTATGGAGGTTTGCAATTTTTTTTAAGTTGGGAAACTGCGTACTTCGGCGCGAACATCTTCAACCGGAAATGAAAATCGTTATTTTGTGAGAGTGTAGACGTAATTACCCATTTTATAGATTCCTGCCCGTGTTTTCCCTAAGGAAAAGGATACGCATCTAGACTAGACTGTTCTCAGTCCCCTATGTTTTTTCGTAAGGAAGTCGAGGTCGAAGACTTTGCGTTTGGTTACTTGCGATCATCTTGAATTCATATTCACCAAGCCCAAGGCGGGGGGGGGGGGGGGGGGGGGGTACTCCCTATAATGGCTAATACGGGGAGGCTCCGCCCGAAAGGGTTACCTTTTTCAGACTTCAGGTATCAGGGAAAGGGTAGCGATTTTACTTGTTGAAGTACATGAAAGGGTAGGGAAATCTGTCATTTTTTTGTCGGAGAAAGGGCCCAAAGGGCCGAACAGATGAATTTCATGGCTTTATAAAGTAGCGAAAACGTTCTATTTTTGTGATTGATTCCTATTTAAACGACAATGTATTTAAAGCAGTTAAAAGGGATGCAAAGTTCTAAACAAGTTATGTGAAAGGGGCACCATTTGTCGATAGAAGGTATACGAAAGGGGTACCTTTTTGGTAAAAAATGGTGTATAAAAGGGTAAGGGATTGGACCTCGGGGCGGAGCCTCCCCGGGGTACCAAGGAGAGCGTCGGTAGATTCCGGGGGCGGTAGATTTGCGTTATGGGCGTAAAGGCTTCTACCTCGACGGCCTTGCGGAAAAATGTGAACAGTCTACATCTAGGCCTGAGACCAGGGCGGATGAAGGTTTTTTGCGCCCTTTAAGGAGGCGAATTTGCTAGCCTCCCACGCAGGCGTTTTTAGGGGAGCTCGTATTTCGTGTGGTAAGGGACGAAATGCGAGCTCCCCTAAAAATGCCTGCGTGGGAGGCTACGAATTTTCAACCGGACGAAAATTCGTCCAGTGCCGAGTGAACGCAGTCTATAAAGGGACCTAAACCCAGTCTAAGACCAAGTCTAAGACGTTTACACTAGGGTCTCTTTCCCCAGTTTCTCCGCAGCTCGTTAGCTCGCCTCAGTCTCGTTGAGTTTCTCCTTTGACAACCCAAAGGGACAACAAGCCGTCTGAACAATTGATAGCCAGTGCTAATTCTTTCTGCAATGTTACACATGTTCCAACATGCTGTGGCAACAAAGTCTTTTAGGTTTCACACAGTTAATAATTCATAAGTTGGGTAGGAACTATAACACTTGTTGGAGTCAACTGGGTTTTCTCAGAGGCGCCTTTTCACTAGTTAGCAGAGGAGGAAATCAGTGTTAGGGTTTCAATTTAGAATTTTTCTTTTATATTAGGACCCTAAGCGACCAATCCCCCGTATTTAAATTTGGCAGTGGGCTCAAGGATTTTTTAATGCTAAGGTTTTCTGTCATTTAGTCTCATTTTTACTTTTTAAAGTCTGATTCTTAGCCAAAACTTTGGTTGATTTTCTGTGGAGGATTGCAATTTTTTTTTAGTTGGGAAACTACGGACTTCGGCGCGAACATCTTCAACGAAATGAGAGTAGTTTTCTTGAGAGGGTGTAGACGTAATTGCCTACTATACATTCCTGCACGTGTTTTCACTAAAGAAAAGGATATACATCTAGGCTAGACTATTCACAGTCACCTATTTTTTCGTAAGGATGTCGAGGTCGAAGACTTTGCGTTTGGTTACTTGCGGCCATCTTGATTTCATATGTACCAAGGAGAGCGTCGTTAGATTCCGGGGGCGGTATACTTGCGTTATCGGGGGCGCAAAGTCTCCTATCTCGACGGCCTTACCGAAAAATAGGGGATTGTAATTCTACATCTAGGCCTGAGACCAGGGCGGATGAAGCTGTTTTGCGCCTAAGACTAAGATTAAGGTGGCGAATTTTCTAGAATCCCATGCGGGCGTTTTTAGGGGAGCTGGTATTTCGTGTGGGAAGGGACGAAATACGAGCTCCCCTAAAAACGCCTGCGTGGGAGGCTACGAACTTTCAACCAGACGAAAATTCGTTCAGTGCCGTGTGAACGCTAGTCTGCTACACAGCCGTTTTTAGTGTCGTCACGCAACGCTCCTCCCCACTAGTTAGTGGGGATTAGCGTTGCGTGACGACACTAAAAACGGCTGTGTAGCAGACTATGTAAACGCAGCCTATAAAGGGACCTAAAGCCAGGTCTAAGACGGTTACACTAGGGTGTCTTTCCCTAGTTTCTCCGCAGCTCGTTAGCTCGCCTCAGTCTCGCTGAGTTTTCGGCTCCTCAATCCAAAGGGTCAACAAGCCGTCTGAACAATAACCAGTGCTAGTTCTTTCTGACAATGTTACACATGTTCCCACATGCTGTGGCAAGGTTTCACACAGTTAATAATTCATAAGTTGAGTAGGAACAATAGCACGTGTTAGAGTCAACTGGGTTTTCTCTCGTTATTTGTGTTTAGTCAGCAACACTCACAAGTGTTGACTGCTTTGAAATTAAACATGAGGTTTAACAGAGCAAATAGAGTTCTTTTAGTCCTGTTTGGAACAGTAACACTGGTCCTGGGAAAAGAAGGTACGTATCAAATTAAAGCTACCTCGCGTTAGTCTTATTCAGAGCTAATCTGGGCCCTGGCTGGTACCCGTTGGTCTTTTTACGGAGTTTTTCTTTTGTATCAGGGGCCATTATACTCTTTGTCCTTCAATAAATCTTTATACATTAGTCAAAGTATTTCCATCTAATTCTAGTCAGATTGACGGTTTCTTATGGAATCAGACTCTGAAGAAATGCTCTTCAAAGTTTACAGAAGTTCACTAAAGTGGCATGAGCACGAGAATGTCTCAAGGCGAAACTTTTCGTTTTACTAAGAGACTGTCACGGCAGCCAGTCAAGCCATTTTGTTTAGCATAGTTTTGCCACTTACGAGCTATGAAACGGAAAGTAAACGAAGAACAGTTACTCCTTAGATGACAAAAGAACAGCTATATAATAAATTAAATACATATGTCTCTTTATAGTTCAAACTATGAAAAACTGACAGGTGAAGAGCTAAGATACGAGAATTAAAATGTCGTTTTGTAAATGTTTAGTAAAAAGTGTTTTAATTTAAGGTTAGGGCTTTCAACCTCTTGATTGCTTCTCACCCCAGCTCCATGTTCAACTGAACGCGTCGAATGCACATTAAGTCAATCCTAGATGGTGTGTAAAAACTTAACAAGCGATTTTAGCGACAATGAAAACGAAAAACAGCGATGAATATTTTTGTCCGTGATTGCAGTTGTGCGACCTTACTCACCATTAGTAGCGGAAAGTGTCCACCGCTACCTCGCCCCAGCCCCCCAACGTGAGAGACTATCGTCTATTTCTAGGTTGGAGCGAGTGAACTAGTAACTGACACTTCGCTTGGTAACTGATACTTGGCTCAGCATAAGTCTCTCGTGGCTCAGTAGTTTCTAGACGCTGCGAGATCATGGACTAAAGTCCCCTTGGGAGTGGTTCGGTTCGAATAGGGAGCTTAAGCAACCATTACGGCAACGGCAGCAAAAGCGTCACTGAATATAAAGGGAGCTTGCGCTGTTTCGAACTTCATCGCTTCTGATTCCATTTCGTTCAATTTGTCCAATTTTGGCGAATTTTTCCGAGGTTGACTTCTAAAAGACTGTATCTGAGCCAAAGTAAAATCGTTGTCGTTTGTTTACGTCCTATTAAAACGTGAAATTAGGAAGTTTCACGTCGACTTAGTCGTGCAAGGCCAATAAACAAATGTACAAAGAAGGGTGATGCAAGAGCAAAGTTGTTGTCTTGCTATATAAGTTAAAAGTATTGAGTTTTGCCGTTCTTGTTGTCGTCGCCGTCATCGTTGCTTAACTCCTTCCAAATCAGTGTTCATATAAGTTACCAGGAATACGTTCCATTGACATAAAAAACTGAAAATTCTGGTTGGAAAATCAAATGGTTCGCGCCTTTCCGTTTGGGAATCTTCAGAAAATATGGGCTGTGATTTGAGGCGATGCAAATTTTCTACTCTTTTTTTAACGGTCCGTTCAGCTGATTAGAATATACTTTGTAGGGGGTCTTTCTCCCACCACGTAAAAGTTCAGTTATAGCTTTATGTTTATGCACACGATTTCCACCCAGGTGGTTTGTGTAAATGTTAAGCACACCTCAGGGGGTCTCTTCTTCCCTTCCCCTGTGGCGGAGTCCTGTACTGTGACGAGAGATAAGGGAAGAAATGAGACCTTGGGAATGAGTTGTTTGCGAACCAAAATATCGGGGCAAATACACCTTACCACTTGATTTTTGTGTATGTTTTTTCTCTCAGTCGTCTTGCATTAAGGATCAGTTTACTGTTTTTCTTTTAGTATTTAAAAAAAAAACATATTCTGCCTACACAGTAGCATGCTTTCCCGTGTGAGCAGGGCGCAATAGTTAGAGTGAGTCTGAATACTCCTGGGTAAACCTTGTTTTCTGCTCTTGCTCCGTAAAGGAGCGCTTGCTTAACAAAAGGTCGCAAACAAAGACAATTCCTAAAATATCATCTTAGTCCCCTAGTCGTGTTTCTGGGCCTGTAATGAGTTATTCTCTACCCCTGTTATTTTTTTGTTTTTTCATATTTTACCTTTGCTGTTTCAGAGAAGAAGTCGAAGCCACGTGACAGCAATCGCTCACTGATAACCGAACTTATGCACGCCGAGGCTTCAGGCTCGGGGACTGGGTCAGAGTCAGCGTCTACTGCAGCAGCGGTACTACTAGAAAAGGTCCCGAAATTTAAATCGAAAGTTGATGAAATTAAATGGAAGTTAAACAAGGCTCGAAAGAAGCTGAAAATTGCCAAACAGTACGTTGCACTGGCGGATAAGGTTGCTACGTTAAGAAAGAAAGGAAAAGGTGGAAATAAGATGGTTAAGGAAGTTATTCGCAAAGCGGAAATCGCCTTAGTACATGCTGGTGAACACATGGGACTTGATTACGTGCACTTCAAGAAATAGACGCATTTAAGATTCTTCGTAGAACTAACAATCTTAAGAATTCTTGGTGTCTTGGAGCAACTTCTATGTTTCTTAAAGATATCAAACACTAATTTTCAAATCTTTTATTAAAAGTACATTCTGATTGATCGAGGCTAGTTTATTAGGTTTGTCAATATTTTTTAAATTTGTAGCGGAGCTCCACGCGCTCAGCGCGCGCGAGCGTAGACCCATACCTAAGAAAATGTGGTAATCTACCCATCCGAGCGATTTTGGTAATCACGTGACCGTACGCCCGTCCGTCCACATCACAGGCATACCAATGTAAAATAACTCAATCAAAAGGTATGGCAACCAAATGCAACTCGAGGTTATTTTGGTGGGAAATCGCATAGTCATGAAGCCACCCGCGTCTTGTGAAGCGGAGACAACTAAAGAGTCAATAAAGACGAAAAGGAAAAACGGAAATTTTTTCTGTATCCGTGTTGTCTAAAGTATCAAGCTTAGATTAATTGTCATGTCCACAAATTTGGAATATAGAAAAAGAGAAAGACAGAGAAAAAGAGAAAGTAGACGATAGGCCAGCGAAGCTCAACGAGAAAAAGAGCAACAGAGAGCAAGAGCGAGAGATAAAAAAACAAAGGAGACATTTTTTGTTGGAAGAACAACGTGAAAATTTTGTAGCGGTGGTGAGAAAACGAGAAATGCTAGCGGCCACCAAGGTGAAAATGAGCGGCAGTGAAAAAATAAGTGAACAAGAACACGTACGACAATTCGTCCATAAACGTGTAACTAGGAAATTTCTGGAAGTTTCACTTTGTAGTCGTGCAAAACAACGGCAATGCAAAGAAATGAACAAAAAAAGTGTGCTGCACGTGCAAACTTGCTTTTTTACTAGTTAGACCTATTGTTGTTTTTTTCGCCGTTCTCGTTGCCTTCGCTGCTTAGTATTACACGATTTTATGTTTTATGTTTTGTTTGAGCAAACTATAAATATTATCGACAGCTTCGCTTTCAGCCGTGGCAAAATCTATATATTAGTGTTAACTGATTCGCATGATTTAAATGCTTGTTTACCTCTTGCTCACATTAGGGTCACGTAAAGTTAATTGCATTACCCTGTGAACGGCTTCACTGTTGAAAAATAGGATAAGATGAAAGTCACCCAATTTCCCCTCCACTCCACTTGCTCCGGCCTAACATATTCGATTTTGTTTTAAATTTTGCTCTGAGTGTTGAAATTTTTATTTTTATTTGTATTTTTTATGGGTTCAATAGCCTAAGCCCTTAAGAGAAAGGACCGTGATTCATTCAAAACGTCAGCTATTAAACCTCTTTAAGGTCTGAAATTTCATTTTATGATTTCAGTCAATAAAACTAAAGTGCGTTTGGCGTTTGAATCTCTTGGCCAGGCGTAGTCTTCACCATAGACGGAACTAAACTTCTGGTTAAGTTACTAACAGGAGTTAGATTACGTCTGCGACGCAGGCTATTCCAGGAGCTGGATCAAAACCATTCCCGTCAAAAACTTTGGATGCTGTACTTACAAACCCTTTAGGGACTTAACGCAAATCGTTACGGCGACCTCGTCTTCGGCCGTCGTGGATACGGAGTCCCGGGGAGAGTAATTCCAAGAGACACCACCTTAGCCCGCCGACTTTTAACTTGAAGCAAGCGGCACCCGAACAGTGACTACAGGGTTTCTCGCTAATTTACTTTCGCTGTTAGTAAAACGCATGGAAGACGTAGTTCCTGAAAACCAGGAGCGTCAAACACTTTCTTGATAAAGTGAAAAACAATTTATGACTTAAAACCAGTGATTGTTAAAAATAGGAAAAAGTCGAATTACATGCTCACGTAGAAGCGACTACACCACACGACATTTGTTAATGTAGTAGGTTTTGGCGCTACGGCGAAAGGTCAATTCCATGCATGCGCACTGGGTCATTTTTACCTCCGGCCGCCGTAGTAGAGGTCGCCGTAGCGATTTGCTTAAAGTCCCTATTATCGTGAACAATTTATATCTTAAAATCCCCAAGTTAGAACACAAGACTCCAGTAAAACATCACAATCCGCGATAGGCAAATGAACACACAACTCAAGGGTGTGTCACTAAGCACTTTTAATAACATCATGAATAAGTAATCACACTCAACAGGTACTCTAACTGCACACTGGAGAGGAAAGAATTTTCCACCGGAAATTTGGTGTGAAATCTCCACCTTCAACAATAAGAACCCCTTGCAGAGCTGGAAGTCTTTTTGTTCAGTGAATCGCAAGGTCGTTATGGGGTTGTGAGTTCGGCCGGTTTTGGAAAGAAGTAGAAAATTCCACAAGTGAAATCATGGATAGGAAGGCCCAGAACAGACAGGGTGGTTTCAGAGGTAAGCTTGTGCACCAAGTTTATAAGTTACTGCTGTTTCATTTCGGAATTGAGGAATTATAAATATTTCTAAGCAACATACCAGCCCGTGTAGCTTGCATATTCCAGGTACATGAGTGCGGCTCTGTATGTTAGTTTATTAGCTTTGATTGTTTTAAAATCTGTCAGTCTCTCACCGATAAGCCTTGGTTTTATTTTTCCGTTAGTATTATTTTCAATAACAAGCGAGCTCTTGTTTTATAAGAGGCCGTTACAGAGTTCGATTAAGCTTTAACTCATGTCCTTGAAAAGATCTTGCGCATGTGACATAGCTGAGTTAAATAACATAGTCTTCCCAATAGTAAAAGTAAATATTTGTTGCCAATGGAAAATTCTTCTGAATCAGCTGAGAAGTTGCTTCAAGATTTCTTTGATTTATTCTAATTTTTGGTAACAAAAATGTTCTGATCGTTGTTTTATAATAGAAGGGATCCGAACAAATACTGGTCCACAAACAAAAGTTTTCTTCTGACGTAGTCGGCACTTTTGCTATTTTTTTTCGATGTCAAAAATGCGAATCTTAGGCCGTCAGACACACAATAAATAAATTCAATGGATTTTTAACGATCAGTAGCCTTCGTGGAATAACATTTTTAGCGGATGCAAATATCATTGTTTGCTTTCACGTCCAGAACTTAACTGAGACCAGGACTTGGCTCAAGGGGTGTTAGAAATAAGGGGTTGCCTTTAGTGTTATTAATAGAAGGGTGTATTTTCTGGCCTGATATACTAACCGCCAGGCCTGATGAAAGTGTTGGGCCACACTGCACTCTGTTCAAGTCGATTAATGCAAGCAAAATGAAAATGTTTGCATATTACTCGCATCAGGGGCACCAAACGACGGTTTCCTCCTAAATACATTGAGAACACTTTTCAAGCTATCCAGGGTCCTTTTAGATATCTGGAAATGCATTCCAAGCGGCGCTATAAAATTTGTATCTTTTCGGTCATCCTAGGGGAACTTCAGTCTTTTCGAAATTACACTAAGGGCTTCAGTGTTACATTCCCGAAAATTTTGGATGTAATTTAACGTATGACGAAAGTGAGAATTTCTCTGATTGCTCTCTCCATCTCATTTTTAAATTCGAAAATTTTACGTTTCCTTTTTCCTAAGAAAAATACTCTGACCTGAGGAGTGCAATTTGAAACATCAAACTTAAGAAAATCGTAGGGAATTTATTAGATAAGCTTCTAAATTTGTACATGAACGCAACGGTCATCTAGAAATTTTTAGCCTTCCTCAAGTAATAGAAAATTCTAGCCAACATCTGCTTCCCGGAACAGATATTTTACAGAAAACAGTCGTTAAGTTGGGTGCCCCTGTCGCATGAGCCCCTTAACAGTATTACACGCGCATTCCCAATCTTCAGAAGCTTGTTCGGAGTTCAATCCTCGTTTCAAAGTTTCTTAAGGGATTATTTAATTAATTGATCCTCGTGCCTTTAGTACTCTGATCTGGCGCAAGTCACGCATGCTATAAAAAACCTACCACGAATAAAATGGCAGGATCAACTTTAAAAATAAAGTGCATTGATTTCTGTTTCATTTAATTCCTGTCTAGAATGCCAGATCATGGAGTCAAGCTATAGTTCACTCTTACGATTTTCCCTCTTATTCTTATTCTTCGCTGGAGCTTTTTTACAGTTAACAAATGGTAAGCATCGAAATAACTGGGTTAAAGGTAAGGGCTGGGACATACGGCACAGATGATGTTCCCTCATAACCCATATTTTTTTTTGCGTTACTTATGACCTGGTCAGAAGCATATAAACCCAGTTATAAGCCTCTTCCTGATGAACAGAGTAGAACCTAGAAATGGCTGATGGAATCCAACATGAAATGCCTAGTAACCACCATATTTTCTTTCATTTCAAAAGTTTTGCTGAGAAGCTCTATTTTCAGCCGTCTGTCGTTTCGTTTTCGTTTCTGTTTCAGCCGTTTGCTCGTGGGAGTCTGGTTTGCATTCGACAGTGGCATATCAAGTGGGGCGGAGGACGGAAGAGCGGTGGGGTGGGCCCTAACTTCATTTTTCCGTGAAACTGAGGTCCCCAAAGCCTAGATAACGTTTTTTTGAAAGGGGATTTCCGGATCGCTCTTAATTCGGTGTCTGGATTAGTAGTCCCATAATTGTTTGTAGTGCTTCCTTATCTCGACCTGGTGATGTGGTAATCGAGCCTACTGCTAAGCAGGCTACAGCAGTTAATGCGTCACAGATAAGGCAATACCTTTGTTTTGATGATATGCTCTTATAAAAAAATGAGAGAAATCGTTTATTCTCGTAGCAGACTCTCTCGAGCCGCTGGAAATGGAGACTAACGTAGCATACGGTAATTTCGTCAGCTTCCAAAACGCGTGAGGCGTGGCAACTGTTTTCTCTCTAGCGCGCTTCTCCCAGCTTGGACGCTTTCGAACAATCTATCTGTTTTTCTTTTTTTTTTAACTTTTGTGCAGCTAAAGCAGGTCCAAGACTAGAGGACGTTATAGAGGAGGCAGAAAGGAATCCAAAATAATCGCCAACGAGATAAATCGATGGCTCCTAACGGAATCCGGAAGTTTGTTAAAGGGAGACGAGGAGGTACACATGCGCTCTCACCGATCTATAGATGAGGACGACGAAGAGAAACAAAGCGATACAAATTTTTTATCCAAAGCCAGCCAACTGATCGTCAAAAGAGATGTTGAGAATAACGCAAAGAAGTATCACAAGAAAGAGAGCGGGGTTCCTGCTAGAAAGAACAAGATCAAAAAAGCGAGGAGTGATCCTGTGGCCAAAGGTCATCATGAAAACACGAGAAAAAGGGATTCAATTCGTGTGATAAAGAAACAAGGACTAGTAAAACATCACACAAAGAAAGGAGGAGGAAAAGATAAAGCAGATGATAAAGGTAAATTAGCGATGAACGAGTTAAGTAAAGCACGCCTCGTGAAAGCGCTGATTGAGGGAGATTCTGAACCAAAGAAAGATGCGGGTGTTTCTGAGCAAACTTATAAAGAACTCGCCGAGTTTATTGCAAGCAGTGATCAATACACAATTGAAACAGGTAGCAAAAAATCGCTCATCCCAAGACCTTTGTCAAAAGCGCATGCGAAAGGCACACATATTAAACTAACAAAGAAACACAAGAGGGTACTGGACATACTATCCAAGTTAGCACCAAACGTTCTTCGAAAATATTTCCACCAAAAAGGCTTGGACAAATATTGGAAAGTCATGGAAAACATCAAGAAAATCCATGCTGCTAAAAGGAATAACCCAAAGAAGAAATTCATGGATAACGCCAAAGATATTAAAGCTGTTAAGCAGAGCAGTGAGGAGGAAAGAAAGGAAAATAAACACACAAAAGGTAGTAAAATCGTCCCACCAAAGAAGCAGAAATTGTCTTCAGAGCTTAAGCATCCAGAGAATGATGCTTTATTGAAGATGCAAACAAAATCACAAGAAAAGTCTTCAAAAATAGAGTATTCTAAACAAAAAAAATCTAACGATAAGGCAATAAGGAAATTACACAAGCACGAAGTTCTTCCAAACTCTTCTCAGGAGGCTGTGGTTGTTAAATCTACCGAAGAAAAGCGCGCAAAGAAATCAAAGAAAGAAGCGGCTATTGGAATTGATCACGTGAAGAAACAACAGCACCAAACTGTAGTGGAACCAAGTCATCAAAGAGAAATTCCACAACCTCAAAAAGATGAGAAAAATAATCTGTTTAAGGTGATAAACAGTAAAAATATTACTTCTATAGAGAAGAAAAATGAGAAGCTCGGCTCTGAAAAGAGCTTAGACTCACCAGCAGAGTCGGGGTCTCATGTTCAAAATACCGTCGCATATAGAGTTAATGAAAAGCATAAAGCTCCTCGATTTAAAGATGTGCCCAAACAAGAAAGACAGAAGAAAGTTTCAGGACCTGTAATTAAAAAAACCGCACATGCAAAGAAACTTAATGGTGATGCTAAAGATTTGAGTTCATCAGCCAATCGAGCCAAAATGTCCACGAACAAAAACGTTCCGAAAACGCTGGAGAAGTCAAATCAAGTTTTCGTGAAGAAAGACTCAAGCACACATCAAATAAAAAACCGCCAACAATTGAAAGCTCCTCAGTTCCAGGTTAAGTCAGGGGCTAAGAATACAACAAGAGAATTGACCAACAAAAATATTTCAGATGCTGAAAATCATAAAGATACCGCCAAAACACCTTCGGGAATGGAGCATCACGTGATCAAAGGGACGCATGCTCGCCAGCTCGAGTCAAAACACAATGAAAGTTTAGAGATCAAGGAAGAACACCCCGCTTCAGGCAAGATTAATTATTTGAAAGAGAAGATCAGGAAAACGAACAACTTGAAATTTAAAGTGGCCCAAGCGCTCCTCGCTCACTGTGAGACGCAAAATAGACTGCGAAAAGTATTTGATGATGTGAATTCGTCTTTGAAAAAGGCAGCAGTACTTGCTCAAGCTATTGGTAAAAAGTTCGGGATTGAACAGAATGACATCGACAAAATTACTTCTTATCACACCGAAGGCGCTGTCGAGCAGTTCTTGAATAAGTTATTCTAGCTTTCATTCTAACTTGAAAGTAGGCAGAGATAATCGACATGTTCGAAATGTATCTATCGAGAGCACTGAATGATAATCGGTTGCTAACTGGTCCTAACTCCTATATTCAATATTTACCATTCCATGAGAGTCTCAATTTGGGTTAGCCGTAAAACGGCGACAAATTTATTTGTTAGGCATGTAGAATGGAAATTTTTAGTCGCAAATAGTAAAAAAGTTTCTTGCCAGAATGCTAATATCAATTTTTAGGATTTCACTGGTCTTGTCTCATGGCTTATGGACTCTATTTCTGTCATTTTTCCCATCCCTGAAAGGTCCTTGGAGGTCTAAGCCGATGAAAACTGAAAACATTTTAAAACAATAGATTTTTCTTCTTTAGATGTCTGTGCATGGAGAGAAATTAACCGGTTAGCTTTAAAAATCTATAGAGACCTGTTTCCATAGCCAAACTATTCAATGGAATTTAGGCACTAAATGAAAATGAAAAACTCCTACTAAACGAGTTCAAGGTCTAACTACACCCCTCTGTAACAGACCCAGTGGAATCTAGATGGAAAGAAAACAATCTAGTACCCATGCTAAAGACTAAAAGGATATTTGCTTCAACCTGTTTAGTTCCGTTTGCAAGCTTTACTGCAGTATATTTCGTATCAATCTTAGTCCCTACTACACTATTTAACCGCATATTTCTTAACCCTGATTGATGTGAAAGGGGCCTTAAAGCAATATGGAGAGTGGTTTAAAAAAAGATATGGTATCGGTCGGCGGATTTACCAGTTTCGTGCGGACGGAAGGCCGATTCGTATATAACAAAATGTGCTGTAAAAAATATTCGGATTCGGGGCCTTAAAACAATGCTATCAATAAATCCCTGCATTAATTTATGTTCATGTGCATCAGGCCCGAGTTGTTCGAAAGGTGGATAGCGCTATCCAGTGGATAAATTACTGTCCACTGGATAGCGCAATAGACCTCTTTATCTTGTATGTTTTTGTTTTCCCGATAGGGGTCCCAGGGGAACTTGACCCTTCATAAATTATGCGCACATACGCACGTGAATAAGACGAAATTTGAAAGAAACAGTTCCCTAGAGTACATGACTTGTATTGGGAAAACAAAAACATACAAGCTAAAGAGGTCTATTGGTTTTTGTAACACTTATCCTCTGGATAGCGCTATTCAGCTTTTGAACAACCAGGGCCAGTTTTATATAGATACCCTGTCCAGGCGCGGATCCACATCGGTTTCCACCGCTTTACAGAAATCGGTCAGATTTTTCATAATAAATGTACTTTTAATAAATAGAAAACTTTCCAAGTTCTAAGGATTCATCCGGGGAGAATGGAACTGGCCAACATCCCGTCTGAATGACTCAGAATCCCAGAAAAGGGAACTTTAGGGAGTTAAAATCCAAACCGGATTTCCCCGGGGGAGCATGTCCCCGGACTCACGTAGAAGCGTGCGCCTTCGGAGTTCGTTTAGGAAATCGGTCAGTATTCATCCTCGATCCGCGCCTGTTGTCATTTTCACATGGTTTGATATAGAAAATAATGAACTATTTAATAGGGAGTTTAAGCAGCGACGTTTTTGAGCGACGCACATCAACCGGAAGTGGACTTTTTTTTTGCACAGGAGCAGTGATTATGAACAAATGTTTGGGCTAATCGTCTCTATAAGAGTAAAGACACTTAGCAATACAAATTTGGTGGCGTCAAGGCATATAAAAAGAAAAAAAAGCTCACTTCCGGTTGAAGTGAGTCCCTGATTATTTACTCAAAATATCATATAACTACAATTATAGCCAGCCATCGTTATCAAGAGGTGGACAATAGTTTATTCTAATCAGTCCATGATCTAAACAGTTAATCAAATGTTCAGCATAAAAGTTAAGGACACCGTAATATCTCATACTAAAGTAAATAAAGAGGAGAAAAATATATGAATCGTCTTTTTAGCGCGTAGATATTTCCCGGATGAATTGTGATTATCAGAAAATTGATCATCATCATCATCATCATATCATCATCATCATCATCATCATTAGCTAACCGAAGAGCAGTTGACTGTAAGGCGTCTCCAGCTGGTTCGGTCTTGGGCAGTGCGCAAGATGAGATCCTCTGAGAAATGCTTAATGGGGTCGATCTATTCCTGGACTTGGCTATAAAAGGACTTATGCAGTCTCCTTGAGGGTCTTCTCCCTTGGAGGAGGAGGGGCTCATACAAGGCGTAGATGTTAGCGGGTGTGGCCTTCGAGTAAGCCCTCGATTTGGGGGAGTCCGAGAAGACACGCAAGAGTTTTCTTTCACGGCTCGCTTCGTTCGCCATAATTGGAGAGCTCTCTATGCGCAAAATGTGACCGAGGAACTTGAGCTGACGTGAGATGATCTTCGATAGCAGAAAATTAAAGACCTCAACTGCTCTTTAAACTCTCCTTTTGATGATAAGCTCAAATACAACATAGGGCCAATTTGAAATTAAAGGGAATAAAACATATGAAATGCCTTTACGTAAGCTAAATACATATCACATGCGGAAACGCTGCCTCAAACTCCCACTTAATATCAAATGGCAGAGCAAAGTGTCTAATAAAGTCCTGAAAGAAGTGAACTTGGCAATCATGTTCACGCTGCTCAAAAAGAAACGAATGCGCTGGCTCGGTCATTTTGTCAGAATGAATGATAACCAAATTCGAAAGGAGCAACTTTATGGTGCCGAGCGGTCTCAGGGAAACCCGCCCAACAGGTAGACATTAGCTTCGATACACCGTAGCATGAAGAATGTCTGCAGAAGAGACCACGAAGCCTTGGAAACATCCCTGCTTCTGATCGTCCACAATCGCGACAAGCTGTGAATCAAGTGCCGGCCAAGAAGTTTGTTGTGACGTTGGCCGAGAAGGCAGAACAGAAGAGACAACAAAAGAAAGAGGGAGAGCACTTCAAAAAGACGCCGAGTTTTATCTGTAAGCACTGAAGTGGAGGGTTTGATGTTGAAGAGAAAATCAAAGAAATGAACAGTAAAAACGTCCTTCAGTTGTGAGAATAGTGCATTGTTTAGAGACTCGCTAAACTCTGAATTGCACATTGATAAGTTGCAAGCTGTCTGCTCTTGGTCAAATATTCATTTCTGTCTACGTCATATTACATTTGAATAGGTAAATAAGTATCTTATTTCCTGACATGTTTACAGTACTCAAATCCAAACAACGTAAACTTAGAAGGTTTGATATAGAACAACATAACCTTGATCATCAGTAAAATTGATCAAGACCAAGAAGATTTTTTGTCTGCAATGAGCCTCAGTGTACTTCTGGCCACAACAAGCAACACGTGATTGACCTGTTAGGTCCTGCGTCTCTTCCGAACTGCAATGTTACTCCTTTTAATCTTGATGGGGCTTTCGGTGGAACCAGAAATACAAGGTAAAATTTTGAAAATGTATTGAATTTCTCATACATTATCGTGAAGTATTCCGCTTTATTTTTGTTGTTTTAGCTATAGACCTTGTTTTCGTTTCTTATATTTTTTGAAATAATATCTGTCAAACAAACCATGGCTGCAACCTGTAGCGACCTGCTAAATCTGATATGCACCAGCTCAGCTGGCCTTGTTGGGGGAAAATATGATAAGTTTCGACAGTTTATTGTCATCCTTATGAATATAAACCTAGGGAAAATGGCGTAGGGCGTAACTATCCCGTGGTGCTTTTAGACAAAGCAAGGTGGCTGATAAGATGCTAGAAGGGCAAATTAACTGAGTTGAACGACATCAGCCTCCAGCCAAAAGGAATATAGTTTATCTCTTGATGGAGAAAAACTTTTTAAAATGACTGAGAAAGAAAAGTATATAAACGAAAAGTAATATAGTTAAAAAGTTGAAAGATTGCTGAACATATTTTCTCCGTCTTCGCCCGCCTTAATCGCATTCGCAGCATCTGAGAAGATATATTGAGAAAAATCGAGTCACTTAGGGACATTCCGAGGTATAACACTCGAACGCATCACAGAACTACTCTCTGTGGTGTACGATATTGGATATGACATTCGCCACTTTAGAAATGAGAAGAGAACTGGAGCCGAAAGTCATCCCGCAATTGTTTCTGGGATTGTTGCTGGGGACTCGATGGTCAGCTACTGTCCCTAGCAACAGTCCCGGCAGTCTTTGAGAAAGTTAACTCGACCCAGGTTTCCTCTCTTTTCTTAAGTGGCGAATAGGTAAGACTTGTACGTACGGTTGCTAAGCGACTGTATACTGATCATTTCAAGAAGTGTTATTAATAGGCAATCCTTGGACAGCCAAGTAACATTGCAGTAAAGTATAATAAACAGTTTTATATGACTTGTTATCCCTACGGAATTCAAGACGCCCGAAGGAAATGTATTTACATTCGGCGGAGCTAAACGTAGTGGCAGTGACAGAGAATGTAAATACTTTCCTATTGGTATGAACGCACGTGAGCCGTTATGGCGTTAATTGACTCTATTGTTATTAGGTATATAAGGTTTTGACAGTTGTAATGTATTCATCTCAGCTCTCGAACTATCAACTTTTATTTTTATATCTTACTTCATTCATCTATCGATTGATTTTTTACCTTTAACCCCCAGAGGTTGTGCGACCGATCGGTTGGGTAATACGTTCCCAATTTTTTCCCATTGGGTTTTTTGGGTTTTCGTATCAGGCGGCGCACGTGAATAGTTTAGCCTGAGTGACTTTATTTAGGGATATTTGTATACCATTCTTTAGTTATGATGTTGAACTTTGTATGATATTTGGACGGCATTAAACACTCAGGCTCCTTAGTTCGAGCTGCACACCCATTCCCGTCTCTTAGTCGTGAATATAAATAGGAAAAACCTGAAACAAGGTTAGATAAAGAGTGAATTTAAACAACTCCTTTCCTTTTTAGCAACAGCACATCAAAGGAAAGAAAGAGACATCCTGGAGTTTTTCATGAAGGCTGGCGAAAATGCAATAAAGGCCATTTCAGGTCTGATTCCAGGAGGAAAACCTAAATCTCAAATGGCCACGCAACCCAAAGGACCTAAAATACCGCTGAACACAATCAATGAAGACTCAATCAAACCTGTTATACCGTATAAACGAGATGGAATAGTGAAATTGAGGAATAATAATTTAAAGAAAGAAACAATCACTTAATTCAAACCAGTGCCGAAAGAGAAAGAGAAAAGGATTCAACCTTGATGCAATAACTGAAGATGGAAATACCTCGAAACAAGGAAAAAACTTTAATAAAATTTACTTAATAAAATCAAGAGATCATAATATTACGGCTCTTGATAAAATATAAAAACGTCGACTGCCACAAAGGACCACAAGTAAATGCATGCAGAGCACAACGTTTTTGCAGAAGACGGAAAGATAAATAAATAACATTTTCGTTATTGTGAACTTAAAAAAGTACCTGGACACATGTACCTTCAGGAAACGTAAAGAAAAAAAAAAGAGATGGAATGAAAAGTGAACAAATAAAAACTGAGTATTTTTTTTAAAAAAAGATTATTTAGGCGTTATTTTTCGTCTACGCTTGTTGCATACATCTTTCTCATTTACTTACCAAGTTCAACATTTAATATTTGCGTCATTTATCACCACAAAGAATGTGTTGGACATTGACGATCTTGTCCTAGCCATGTGCAGCATAATTACCTGGTACCCAGATCTCCCACGACCCGCATAAGACAGAGTGAGATCTAGTTAAGAGATAAATGTGAAGTTAGCACATTAACACGTTCAGGCACTCAAATAGTGGTTGGCGGCGCAAAGGGAAGTGAGGAAGGGCGAGAGAACTCCCGCCCCCTGAATTCTCCGTTTTTGTTCTCTGTACTCTCCATTTCCGGACACTCCCCAATAACAGGCTACTTAACAATTACTCGAGTGCGCGTTGGATATGAGCTGGCTATAATCATCTCATATCCAACAAGCGCTTGTGAAATAATTGTTTTGTTAACAACGCCCACAAAATATCGAGAATTCTTACCGACTTTATTTGTAAAAACAACCGATTTTCAGCTTATTTTTAAATTGAGTAGACGCGTACAGTTACCACGTTTGGAGAGCGTGGTACAGAGGCTCATATGCCATGATGGCTAAAGCCAATCAGGGCTCTAGAATTGCATTATCCAATAATCCAGTTTTTAATAATAGTACTCAGCCTAAATCACTATTAGACAGTGAGGATTTGTTAAGTTATCTCTTCTTCCAATATTAATTAATAGTTTGTGTCGTGCTTCTGGCGTGCTTTTGTGGGTCGACCTTCATTCAAGGATTCAGTTTGGTACGACAGAAGCCTGACGTATGAAAGAAAGAAAGTACTGTTCAAGAAAAGCTTACCCACTGTTAAATATTTTATCCGTAAGATCGAAGTGACCCTCGAGCGAAGTAATACTTGAGATTAGAAATCTCCGTTTTTTCACCTTTTAAGTAGAGACGTTGAAAATTCACCGGTTATTTTTACTTTAATGGAGACAATTTAACATGAGTCTATTACAAGGCGTTAATTTAGGGCGTGGTCACATGACAACATTTCACCGGTTCCAAACCTAGCAGCCTTGTTTGATTGACCTAATTACCGTCAAAGTTTACATGCAGAAACACATTAAGGCATTGTTTAAAAGCGAGGAAGTCGGATTATGTGCAGCAGGTAGGAGGCTAAATATCTCATTAACTGTTAGAAACAATTACAAGTTACTTTTTCAACGTGCTGCAACACTATAATGTAACACCTGTTGCTATGTTTACTTTGAAGCATTCATTGTTAAGAAAATATTTTTCTTAAGTAAGAATGTATACCTACAAAAAACGGTTTCACTTTAAATTAATGCCATGGCAAAATTTTCCAAGCATCTTGACTTATTTTTTAAACTGTTTAGGAAAATTGCCGGCAGCTCTCACAACATTACAAAACAGTACTGAGTTTTCTTTCGACAATTACGGTGTCGGTTGACGCTTGAGGTTTAATTAACTAACCATCTCCAAAAGGAGTGAAAGTTTTTTAAAAAGTACGTAGGAGAAAAGGTAAACCCTTGTGAGCATACTGAACCTACTGGTGTGTCCCAGGAGTCATGGGTGTACATATGAAAGAATTAGCAGAAGGTCAAATGTTTGCCTCGAAACAAGTAGTAGCTTAGAAGCAAATTGTGCGCTATTCCGTTCACGTGAAATACGGAAAATGATAACTATAGTGCCTCATACTGTAAATAACTGCTCAATATCCGATAAGAAAAAACCACAGGCAGCCAAAGACACACCGAAAACGATAACTATAGTGCCTCATACTGTAAATAACTGCTCAATATCCGCTAAATAAAAAACACAGGCAGCCAAAGACACACCGACAATGAGAACTATACCTCATACTGCAAATAAGTGCTCGCTATCAGCTTAGTAAAACCACAGGCAACGGGTTTCACTTACATGAAGCACACTTAAAAAGATCGGCGATCTTACTCGTACAGTATGGATAATTAGAATTGGAAGATCTTTCCATTTAACGATCCCGGGCAACTTGAAATATTTTAGCACAGTCTAAATGCCAGAGCTGATCGCTACACGTATGGTGTTTTACTTAACTTCTCATTACTTCTAAGGTCAACAGAATTGGCGTACAAAAACTGAGCTACCTGTTTCATGTTTTTAAATGTGAGCGTACATAACGGATAATTTTATAAAAGAATGAACAACATTAATGAAATAGAAAGTGATAAATGAAACAAAAAAATCTCGTGGCGAGAGAATTATAATTTATTCACTCTCATAACGTTGGACGGTGTCCAAACTGTGTGAGACCATTTTACTTTGTTAACATAATTATACGCGCAAATACCCACTGAAAACATTCATTTTATTGATGACTTTCAACTTAAACAACAGGTACACTTGTGTCGGTTTTGACTCACTGGCTTAACTGATTTGAAATGATAAAACTCATCAACGCTTGTTAAAACCTCGTCTTGTGATTGGTCAGTTTGAAGGATGATCTCAACCTATATACCAATCTGAGTTCATATTTTTACACTTAAGGTGGAAATGACAATGGCGGCTCGCTTGGGAAACTTCCGCTGCTTAAAAATCTAGAAATGTCGTAGTTTTCCACTGCGGGATTTTCACTTGCCAACAAGTGGAATTTTTTCTTTCTTGGGCTGCAGTTATTTTCAAACGCGGATATTTTTGTCACTGTTTGGTGTTGTAATATGTCAAACGTATGAATCTTTACAGGTAGGTTTTTATTTCCGTTCAATAACCCTTAGTATAAAGGTGGTCCGGAAAAACATGGCTACCCAAGCATACACTGTCAGGTTCAATTTTGATTCACATTGTTCGTAGACCAGAAAAACAAAGATGATATGTTAAATCGAGTTTGAATGTCCTCTGCGTCTACCTGAGCTAAAATTAACTTTTACTGACAATTAAGAACCAGTGGGTTATGACAGAAACTTAATTTCTTTTTAGGAAACTTACATCAACCTGGTAGTCGTGCTTCTTTGCCCTGTAAACATAAATCGAACGTTCGGCCAAGCATCATATTTCGCACTTTTTTAAACACCTCAATGCACTGTTTTTGCAAATCATATTCTTGGCCATACGGACGAAAGTGTGATAATTGAAACACCTCATAAAAACCACTCACAGAAAAATAAATATGACAACGTTTAACAGGCTGTCTTGATTTTAGCAAATTGAAAATTCTTGAAGCGTTTGATAAGCACTTACATGGGAAGAATTTGTCCTCCTCCCTTTTTACATCTATATATGTTGTGTAAGAAAGTATATATTTCTTTATGATGGAATTTTCCTCGCGATCTGGGGGTTAAACGACTTCAAAAGCAAGCCACCAGAAAGAACTTACGTTTGGATTAGAGTTATAACTGAGAAGCCTTTTAATGCCAATATTGTGTTCAAGAACCAATTTCGGATATTTGCCGTTGGAATACTAAGAATGACGACACAAAACTTAAGTCCATGATCTCTGGTAGGTTTCGAGGAAAGCATGTATAAGTGGAAGTTTGATTTAAGGGAGTCATTTACGGTTCTTTACTACCAGTGTTTTCAATACTGAAAACGTCTTGCAGTTCAACCTCGGCAGAATTAAAGAGCTTGTCGCTCTATCAATCAATGTTCTAAAACAAGACGGAAGCAAGAGAACATCCTTCTCTTGACGGAAACGATTACTATAATCCCCTATGATTCAGTGGGTTTGGAATATCCATGACCACACTTGCCGGTCCACCAGGAACATATTTATAAGTAGAACTATAAGGCCTTTAATATATCGTGCGATATAGCCCTTACAAAAGGAGAAGAAGGATATAGAATATTAAGCAAAACGAAATTCCTGATGAATTAATTTGACGCTCGTTAATGATCATCTCAGTCCGAGATGGCCACTTTTGATTTCGGAAAAGTGAGTCATTTGATGATGAGAGTCAAATTTTTCAAGTCCTTATGAGGACCATAATTCGACTACCAATTAATTTAACATAATCTAGTAGCGTTCGATGTAGCATAACGGTGCATGGAGATGTACGAGTATGACTTAACCACAGAATTGCACGCTTGGACAAATACCAAGCCAACAGCACGATCCAGTGAACTGAATCAGGTTTACGGTTAGCTTGTACAAGACTCGATGAAAAGGCTGAACATGTACACGGATGGTCTGCCTGCCTGTCTGGTTTTCAAGAGAACCCCACTTTAGCCTCTGTATGGGTATTTCCGACGAAATGATCGAAGTCGCGACGGTTGCCATTGATGAAGCGACGATCTAAGAGATCTTAAAAAGTGACGATGGCATTGCCTCTTCAATGAAGTTTGACAACGATAACCGTGCAATGGCGGCTAAGAAACCTGTCAAAAGTGTGCTGCACATTCAGAGTTTTTGTTTGCCTATCAAGTTTCTCTTTCCCGTTGTCGCTGTTGTTGAGATCGATGGCCAGTAGCGTTACAACGCAAAGTAATTCTTAATATGCGACGATGTCGCCTAAAAACCGACAATTTGATGACAATTGCGCGACGAAATCGACGTCCCCAGGAACTCATACAGAGGCCCACCGCGTGACGAAGTAGGAGTTACATTGTCATCGGTCAAAAATCCAATATTGGAGTGGTGAGGAAAGTCATAGGCTTGACTGGATGTTTTAAACTGTGGATCAATCGGTATGTATATCCGTCATTGATAAACGTTGTTTTTATACTTGCAGATATCATATGGCCTCCGTTTCGGTGAAGCTTCTGTTTCTTGTCTCAGCTTTGCGTCTACTGGAAGGTGCCTCTGCCCAAGGTAGGTCTGAGGGGCAATGTCGTTTTGAGAACAGCATGTAAGAGCAACTAACGACACTTAAACAAGGCATATTTTGTCAATCTTTACTAATGATAAGTCAGTATGTCAGCCAGTCAGTCGGTCAGCCATTCACTCAGTCATTCAGTTAATCAGTCAATCAGGCAGGTCGTCCGTTAGCAGTCAGTCACTCAGTCAGTCGGTAAGTCAGTCAGTTATTCAGTTAGTCTGTCATTCAGCAGCCAACCAGCCACTCAGTCAGTCTTTCAGTCGGCCAGTCAGTCAGTCGACCCAAGTCGTCTCCTTTGTCATTTGTAAGCGAACTGTCTCAGGCGACTATTATGGCATCCCGGCCAACGGGCCGATGGGATGGAGAGAGGATCTCCCCTTTTCCCTTCTGTCCATCGCCTCCGCGCGCATCTTCCACGCGCTTCCTTCATATTATAAGAGACAAAAGGTCGGAGGGGGCGGGGGAGGGGACACTAAACATGCATTGTAATGACACTTTGGGCCGATTTTTGTTTCAATAATGAAAATCTTGCAGAGTTTTACGAAGATGAGCCAACCCTTGAGCAGTACAGCCCGCTGTTGGGAGAAAATTTTATCACTTACCCTATGTTAGAGGAATATGGTGTCCCAACCGTGGAAGAATTTCCCGAGGAAGATCCAGATGAAGAAGATGAGGATGACGAAAAGGAAGAAGATTCTTTGGAAGCAGAACATAAAGACAAGAAGAACGGCGTAACTCGCGCAGGTGGGAGAGAGAACTCAGCGTTTGCTTTGTTGTTTAAAACGGAGATGGGAGAGCTCCTTTGCCCACACATGGATTCAGATGAGTGCAACCCATGAATCTAGTTTTGAACCAAGTAGATTTCACGGTTTAGATGATTTCAAAGGCTTCATCTTTAGGGAGATGACGCGATAGATAGTGTGGTTTTAAGTGAAGAAGAAACTTAAACTTGCCTGGCGTCATCACAGTTTAATACCAAATGTCAACAGATGCCTATAGTGGTGATCAAACAACAAAGGGGGCATCTGTACCAAGTGCTTGCTAGGTAAAGGTCTTCCACTGTGAGGTTTAACCGAGCTACATATCCTTTGTGCCTTGTGCCTAAGCCCTATACGCACAAGGAAACATGAGAACTTTTTTTGGTTTGCGCAAAAAGCCATGGCGGGGGTCAAATGGTCAAAATGCAACAGGTCAAAGGGTAAAAGTGTGTTGCGCGCTTCCATAATTCTTTCCCAAGCATGCTGTGAGCATAGCCTCGAGCAGGGAGCTACAGCTTTGTTTTGAACTAAATCATTTTGCTACAAAAAAGTTTGTTACATATGTTTTAGTCTTACCTGGCTAGTTTGGGAGTCAGGTTTAAAAATTATGGTTTCAATAAGTTTCATAAGATATCCCTCTCAAACGTTTGCCATAGTGTAAGAGTGGTCACTAAAGCAACTTCTTGCTATCTTTAATTTCTTGCAGACAACAAGCATGCACAAAAGATCCTCTCTACATCGAATTTTCAAAGCGACGCACGCAAAAAGCGGCAGCTCCCTCTTCAAGGTATCACAATGAAATCTGTTGAACATTTTCCGGACTCGCTCTTTAAATAAATAGGTGATGTAGAAAGCTAGAAACATATTAAGTTTCTTGGTGAGCGAGTCATCCCATTAGTCACATAGAGCGTTTTCACTCACGTGGCCAGTTTATTGAACCAAAGAAAACTTTTACATAAGAAGAGAGTTCAACCCCCCCACGGGATTTGTTTGGTACACCAACATGGCCGCCGTTTCATTATTTTGGAACACCAATATGGCTCCCTTGGCATGTGAAAACGGTTTATAGTTGTTGCAAAATACAGTGCATTTTATTTATAAGCCGACTTGTCCCTAAAGTGTTAAGTTTTTTACTAAATAAACCTGTTTAAGTAAAAAAGCGGATGTAGTGTTTCACCATTGTAAATCTCTTTTGCTGTTTTTTAATTCACTGTTTGTAGACGACCCAGTTGAAATTGCCCGTGAAAAGCTCCAACGTGCGGTTAAAGCTGCAAAGGCACTGAGTGGCATAGAAAAGGAACTTGGATTAGAGCCCTCAACAATCGAGAACAAAACTGCAAAACTAGAAACCGAACTACACAGCGAAGAGAAAAATTTCAAGAAATTGGCCGATGAAGCACAAGACCCAGCTAAGAGGGCTAAATTCAATAAATTTGAAAAAGACGCCGACGAAGATGTCAAAAAGGCAGAAAATATTTTGAAACTTATTGTCAAGCTTGAAGCAGCTAAGTATTTAGCAAAGGAGCGCGCTCAAGAAGATTTCGAAAAAGCGGAAAAACGTAAAATGGCTTCTATGCCTCAAGCAGTCCTCGGACAACCCCTATCCTACCCACCTCAAGTTGCGGGTTACTTAGGAGGAATTCAACAGCCTGTTTATCAACCAGCAATGCAGTCATACACGGCAAGTTATCAACCACAAATGTTTCAAGGGACGAGCCCCAATATGGCTTCTGCACCTAACAGCATGTTGTCGCCTGCTAGCTTAACCGTTCCATCTAAAACGGCGCCTGTTTATCAGCCTACATACCCAGATAATGCGGACGTACAGAAAATCAATTCAAGTATGTTTCTATACATTAAAATTATATCATTTACGGCACTGCTGTGTAGTTTTATCGGATTAATTAGAAATGCTCGAAAAAGACAAATTTCAAGAATTTTGTTCCTGAATCATTCCAAAATGAGGCCAAGGCGAACGAAAAAACAGGCCGAAAGATTTGAAGAAAATGCGAATCTTTTTACTAGAAAAGGCGCTCGAGAATGCTTGCTCTAATCTGCTATCTTGAAAATAAAAAGCGCCGCGCATCTGTTGTAAGAAACTTAAGACGTTACCCTTGGCATCTCTCATGTAACATTGTTGAGCCGAAGTTTGATGGGTTCTAAGAAATAAGAAAATTTTTATTCATGTGGTACAAATTGGCGTCGACCGTAGACGTGATTCTAAATCTATAAGGTGTCAACTTATCCATCTTTTTCTTTTCTGAGCGGTACCTGTGTTTGTGTCCTTGTTTGGTCTCACTTCTCAAAACACAAAAAAATACAGTGTATTACTTGTCTTATCCTTCAAATTTTAATATATTTCTTCTCCAGTTGAACAAACAGAAGCGACTGCTTCAGTGCTTCCAGCACAAACCAACCCTCAACAGACAGTTGGATCAATAGCACCAGTGTCAACTAAGGTCGCTAGCTACTCCTCCGAAAAAGGAAATACCAACAACAAAAATTTGGAGGTTAATGACCTGCCAAGTCCGTCGGCCCCTAATGAGTTTCTAGCAATCCAACCCCCAAACACACCCACTACACAGTCTAGTGCGCATGCTCCATCTAGTAACGAACTCAAAGAATCACAACCGCATACTAAACCACAAAAGACAAACGAAGGAGCAGCATCGGAAATGGTACCCTCGTCAGTAAGTCAAGCTCCTGAACCTGCTAAACCAGCTTTGCCTGTTCGACCTGTCGCACCAGTTCAGCCGGTCGCACCTCCCACGCATACGGTCGCATCACTTTTTGGGCAATCAAACGGTCTCATGTCACAGTCAGCGCCATTGACTGCATCATACAACCCGAGTATCTCAGCACCAAACACAGGTCCAGTGTCAAGATATTTCTATTCCTCCTCTAATTCAAAAGGTCTGTTTGCACCTCAGTCCTTTTATCAACCGTTTCCGCAAACACCACCCCAGGCCGCTGCTTTTCCAACGACGCCCAAGAAACTGGACGACAATCTGGGACCGTCAGATGCAAAACCCGAGGTGGCTCCTATTTCTGTTCCTTACAATGTAAGTATATAAGACTAAACAAACCTTCAATCCGTTGTTAACAGACAATTTGCTTGAAGGAAAGGAAACAAAACATAGTTAACGACACACACTTCCAGGTTGTAGTGAATAATCGAAGGTAGATGCATTCTTGCTCTAAGTACAATCCTTTCCGTCATTGAGGCAGTCTGGAGTGCATGGGTGGCGCTAAAAGCCACAGCGGGCGGTCTGTAATCATATAAGTGATTAACAAAAAAGGACGACCACGTAGAGGGAGGCCGATTTATGTAATCACGAGTATGATTTCAGACCGAATTGTACGACACGAAGTTCTGTTACCAATTCATCACAACTATATTAAAATATGTGATATTTTAGGCTTTTTAAAACTTAAAACAAAAGAAATTCCTAGAGTCTTTTTGCAAGCAGTGAAAAAAGCCATTTGAGTGCCCACGTGCGATGGCGCGTAGTGTCCTATTATTGCTGAAATCAGGAGAGTTGATAACCAATCAGATTTGAGAATTTTGCTATAGTTATGACTTTTCCCCAAATCGGTGGTAAATATTTTGCTAGGTACACTGAAACCACTGGATTTCTAGGCGTAGTTCTTGGGACTGAACTGGAATTAGCTTGCATTTGTGCCAACTTGGAGTAATATAACCAGAAACACTTGCATCCTCCACCATAGTCTCAATGGCAAACTGCAAAATATTCAGTTTTCCACGAAAAAGTACGATACCCCTCCTGTTAATTACTTTATGTATGATACTTTTGGTACGAAATTCTTGACAATCTTTAAAAAGCAGATGCAAAATATAAAAGTACATAAAACAAGTGGATAAGTATTCACCTCCAAGTACCATGTTGGTGTATTCTGCCCTCACCTTGAAAAGAAAGTGTATCTTTTTTTTGCTCAGACTCCTCACTGAGCTTTGTGCATACAAATTAAGAATTTATTTAATTCAGCCATGTGCCCGTTAAAAGTAACAAATTTTCTCCAGCATTTTCTACCTTCATTAAAGTTTAATAGTTGTTAATTTTTGAGTTGTTTGATTACCCAATCAAAGCAAATGAGAACAATATTCCACTATTTGGAATGGATCAATAAAGGTTTCATTCTTATTTTTCTTAGGGTCGTCTACAGACTCCGTTAACGCCCAGTTCTACAAGCTTTGAAACTTCTCGTCCTTTTGCTTACGCTGGTCAGCAGGAGCTGCCAGGAGCTTATCCTACCGCGCCATTTTACCCGTGGAATATTCAGGCTTTCCCTTCAAGCAACCCACAGGACAACTGGAATACGCCGTCTTATTTCCCTGCATCAGCTCCATATCAAGCTCCAGGTGCAGAACACGGCAAACATTTTTTTGTTTGTGCAAAATCATTTTGATTCTAGAGAATTTCTATTCTTATCTGTGGTTGCCGCTCTTAAGTAGAAGTAGCACCCTCGTTGGGTGGAGGGATACTTATTCGTATGTTCTTAAACATCTACACAAGGGTTCCTTTAAGTTTTTAATCAACGCAGTTCCTAACCTTGATAGAGCATTTTAAGCTCCGTTCCCAAAACAGATTGGTTAGTGGTCCTGTTTATAGGCCTTTTTAGCACTTTTATCCCTGAAGTAACAAAGAAAAGAAGAAAGAGAGAGACAGAGGAATAAGGGACACGGGATTCTGTACCTAGCTTTGAAGTACTTCATATTTGTTGTTCGCCGTCGAGCAAGCTGGAAATTAAAATCAGCTTTTTTTGTTTTGTTTTAGTTAATCCACTGTTAGCAGAGGCATACAGAAAACTTCATGACACAGAACGCGCTAGCTTGGCCATGTCTAAGATTGAAGAAGCTATTGGTCTGTCGCCCAGTTCAGTGCGGCACATTATTGATGACGTCGAGAAACAGGCTAAACAGGAGGAGGTTCAGTACGAGGACGATATGAGCAAAGAAAAGGCTGATATCAACAAAGAGAAGGGACTTCTTCAAAGTGATAACGCCACTGAGCCCGAGGAAGCAAAGAAAAAGATTGCAGAGGACGAAGCGAAGCTGCGAGACGATATCCAGAAAGAAAATGGTGCAAAACTTGAAGTTGACAAGATTAAGAAAATTGAGAAAATCTTGACCATCATCGAGGCAGCAAAGTATTCAGCTATGCAACGAGCAAAGAATAAGATGAATAAGCTGAGAATTGTGGATGATGGAACTGAAAATGAGGAAATTCGAAAGCGCGATCTAGAAGATCTTGAAAAGGACATCAGACGACGGAGAAGGAACGAGATAAATATTTGGCTAAAGGGATCGAGGAATCACATTGACACAAGTCACTTTTTACGAAACCATATTGGTAGATTAAGATTAAGAAAGCAGGAAGAAGAAAATTCAAGAAGATGGAATTCTGAGGACAAAAACCTTTCAGAGCATTCTCAAGATGGACATCTAGGCAAATCTGCAGTTGATGACCTCACAAAGGAAGGCAAATTACGCAAATTAAGATTTTTTAAAACACTCGTCTCCAACAAGAGGCTTGATTCTGGAAACAAATTTGCAGTGGAAAAGAGGACAGACATTTCTAAAAAACCAGAGCAATCTGCCAACACATTCGTCATGGCTAAATTACTTCAAAAGATGGACAAAATATTTAAAATTCAAGAGGATATTTTGAAATTCCTTAAAGCTGAGCACGAGATACATGATCTTCAAAAGAAACCGGAAGTGAAAAGGTGGCGACGGAGTCTGCATCATTCCAAACACCACAAGAAGGTTCATGAGGAATTCACAAGAAGGAAGAGAAAAGCAAACTAAGCGCTTATATTTTTAACGAAATGTCTGCTCGATTCAGACTATTGTTTATTCGTAACAAACGAACGTTTCTTTTCCACAAATGGTATGATCTTGTGGGTGAACGCAGGCGTTGTTAATACGGGTTTCCAGAGAATTCTGTCCCCCAACATTCGTATTTCCTGCAACGTGCCAGCACAATTGCTTTGCAAAAGCCTTGTTAAACATAGGCTAACACTGCTTTAAGAGAGAAAATTTTAAAAGGGAGCTGCCTAGATAAGCCTTGATAAATCTTGACCTTCCCAGGCGAAAGACTAACACCAACACTAAGTAGTTAATGATCTGATCTTACCAAATAAGAAGTCTCAACGTGAGTAAGCTTCTGTAAAATTAATAATGATATTATAATGATAATAATAACAATAATACTTTCATATTCCTTTAGTCAGTCATAAGGTGGCTAAACATTCGTAACTTAAAAGAATGATATTTTTTGTCATATGCATAATAGCAGTGCAGCTACTCAAGAAATCACACAAGTGCTTTGGCGCATTCTTCATTGATAGTGGTGTTATTATTAATAAGGGTATTTTTTTTTTAGGTAGAGAAATCTACCATTTGGAGAAGGCGACAAGAAGTAAATGAAATGTAAATATGTAAATTTTGATACTGCATTTAATAAATGTTTTGTCTGATAAACGGTGCTGTTTGGCCGACAACTTTCGCTGCTTTGAGTATTAAAACAACCTTGTTGGAAGGCAAGGTAACAGGAGCAACAGGTAATATATGGATTCCTTTGATAGATCAGGAGTTGGCGATATATCTGCACCAAGAAAGATGATAGGCACGAGTTACCCCCTCATATACAACTTTTCCCGAAATCGTGACAGGTTTAGTTATTCTTTTGTCTTACTGATAACGTGCCCTCAATGCCTTGTATTTTGGAACTCTGCAGATGTGATTGAGGCAAAGAGGGCAAGTTAACATAAGCGTAAAAGAGAGGTAACGGGCCCTTTGCTTAAAGAAACGGTTATATGGCTCAACAACACCTTGCTGGATGGCAAGTTTGTAAAAGGGCTACGCGTTTATTTATTTTCAGGTTATCTCTCAATGGCAGTAGGTCTCTTACATACTGTCACAAGATAGCCCAAAACGATGGTTTCAAGAATTGATGTCAACTTTTTGAGGTTTTTTCCCGGTAAATGACGTCAGTGAGATTTGACTAAAAGCCATAAACACAAAATTTTAGAAAATTTCTAGGTCCACATTGCCAGCTAAAACTAGCTTTAAAGAGTTTACCAAGGAAATAAGTCTACAATCCATTGCTCAAATCGTTTGACGTATTTGCATAATTTCTTCTTTGCTAATCTATGGTAGCCCGCTAACGCCATAGCAATTTTGTACCTTTTTGGCAAACTTTTGATACTTTCTGCTTTTTTTTTATTTCCCTTTTCTTTTTAATTGTATTCTTTTGTTCATTTAATGTTATGTTTATTTCACGTTGCTTCAGTTAACTTTTTTCATTTACAATACTGGACTTCTTTTTCATTTCATTTCTCTTTCATTTTAAGTTTGGTTTCATTTCTTCTGTTTTGTTTATATTACCTTCTTTTCTTTTGTATTTCAACAATTTATCAGAAACAGTCTTTTTTCAATTTTCAAAAAAAAAACCCTCACGTTATGGCCCAGTAACGCCATAGACCACAATACAGCGCGAGTAATTAACAATTATTCCACGAGGGCGCTTGGATATGAGATGATAGATAGCCAACGAGGCGTGTAGCGCCGAGTTGGCTATAATCATCTCATATCCAACAAGCGCGAGTGGAATAATTGTTTTATAAAAAACTCCCAAAAAATCTCGTTGAATCTCCCCGACTAGAACAAACCGGAAAAGACAAGGGACTTCCGCTATTCACATGTCACACGTCTATCAAAACTGTCAACGCGCGAACGGACTCGCCTGGACTGCATGAATGAAAAATCAAAACATTGTAGCGATGAACATTAGTTTTTTAAAAACTCGTCGGGATTTTACACAGCAGAACAGCTAAAAAAACCTGGCAGATAATGTGAAGGAAAATAATTTTTAAGTGACAGCCGTCGAAATTACTGTGAATTTGGATTTTCGGTGCAGTTATAAAAGTAAGAACAACGGAGAAAAACTATTACCTCAGTCGCTTGTTATGAAGTTGTTTGAAGCCACAAGCTGGTTTTGCTGAAAAGAAGCTATACTGCCGCCTCGATTGCTCTAGTGAATGGCTGCATAGCCTGTATTTGTAGCTGGTTACTTGCGATTTATATTCTTGATGTGGGATAAACAAGCCGCAGTTATCTATCGGCGAGTGACTCGATCGGCGAATGGCTTCGCGATCATGAAGAAACAGAACTTGTCTTCTTTCGTAGCTGGTCAAGGTACTTTAGTTCCATGTGTTTTCATGTGTTTTTCGACAAACTTTCAAACAAGCTCTTGTGGCTTTTTTGTTTGTTTTTGTTTTTTTTTCTTTCGATGAAATTGCATTTCTAGTATTCTAAGAAATGAATTAAAACGATTTGCTTCGGGCGCCATTCTATCCTTCGCGAAAAAAAAATCTCAGCCAGCTTCCAATTTTAAACTGATGCGTACACCGACCATATTTGGAGAGCATGGTATAATAGCTCATATACCATAACGGCTAAGCCAATCAAAATGCTAGAATTGCATTATCCAATGATTCAGTTTTTAATAATGACTGATATCCCATAAGCGCTCCCGGCCGTCAGGGAGCATTCAAGATGGCTGCCAGGTTAAGACCCGGATAAGAACCTCGGACTGGGAGGAAGTTTTTGAACTAGATAAAGATCTCAAAGCAGGTTCAGGTTAGCTGTAACCTGCAGCAACCAGAAATGGTGGATTTGATGAGCGTCATATACACCATGTCGTCTGGGAACCTTAGGACTCTATATATCCACCCGTGTCCATCATTTTGGGATCACGTACACCGACTACTCTGTTGATATAGACTAACATCATTAGTGCAAATCGTTTTGTGAAAATTAATTTCTATTTGAATTAGTATCATTTTCTTAACAATGGGCTCACACTTAGCCTCGCTTTGAAACAGAGGCTTGGGGCAGCCCAGTACAATTAACGGGATGCAAGGCTGTTATGTACGGTCACGCCTAATGAAGCATGTGACAATCAAGTCTTGTGGTGAATTCTCTACCTGTCATTTTTGCAAAAGAGACAGGTGTTCCATTTTCACACCAAAATGAACATAACAATTTCGGAAGAGAATACATACCACTAGATCCATCAGATGTTCGGAACTTACCTAGAAAATAGACTTGAGTCTTGTGCGTTTGAGCTTAGGAAAATCATTCGTTTAAAAGATTACAGATCCTGACCTGTGAATCCAAATATCTCAAATAGACCAAGTCAATTATGGATTGTTATGAAAGCGATTAAGCCTTTCTTTGATGAAGGATTTCTACTCTAATTAATTGAGTAACTGAGCACTGTTTCAGTTAACTGTTCCAACCGTGGAGTTATTGACTGGTTTTGAAGTCAACAACACTCTGTCTAGAAGTATGGCCCATGACGTTTGGTTGTTTAGGAGAAGTCTTATCGCTTGCCTTTTTCTAGGCATTTTCATAGGTTTGTATTATTTTATTTTAGCCTGCTAGATTTACTTGATAGACTCGATAGCAAATGTTTTAAGCTCTTTAGTTTAATCAAAAAGTCGATAAAGCTATCCATTCCTTGGAAATTAAGCTTAGAAAAGTTTAAAATTCATTTATTTATTTTCCAAGTATTTTGACAAATTTAATTTAGTAGGAGAAGACAAAAACATAACTCAGTGAATTCCTGGGGTAGAAAAACACCTTTCGAACTTTATTGCTGAGAAAGACGGTGTAACCGTAATTATAACTTATCTTCTGAGTAAAAAGTCAGGATATTGCTCATTGATTGATATCTTCACCCTCTTCTCTCGTTAAAGGCGAATTTAATAGAATGCATGGATTAACAGGTTGAAAGAAACGCAACACTGAGCTTGTCTGGCCTGGAACACAGTTAAAGAAAATTTAGCCTGCCGTTCTTTCCTCAGCTTTTGCTTGCTGCTATCTTTATCACATATCATGCTACTTTGGTTCTGGAACGATATATTACAAATGCAGGTTACTCTTTGCACACTCATTAACAGCAGGGGACCAGCCGTTATAACCAATGTTTTAGGGAGAGGGAGGGGTTGGTAATTTTAAAAGCAAAAATTCTAAAGCCTACCTTGAATTCCCCGTAAACTTAACTTCCACACGGTCGCTTACTTGGGAAAAGCCGCGAAAAGGATTTGCAATAAATACTTGAAAAATGACAGTGTTAAGAACCAGCTGTCAATTTTAAAAAGAGAATTTCATTAAAAATAACTTTAATTTAATATATTTACCAGGATCTGCTAAAGGCACAAATACAACCGCCGTCGCTCCAAACCGAGTGTCTTTGTCTGATGCCAAGGTATCTGCAAGTAAACATTTCCCTTCCCAAGTATCACATCACTTGATTAAGAAAGGTTCGACAAAAGCTGGACAAATGAAACAGAATACCTTCGTGAATTTTAAAAAGAAGTTAAGCAGAGCTCATGCGCATCCACGACGGAAGAGAACCAAGTTAAGAAAGTCGCATAAAAATCAGGTATCTAAGAAGACTCTAATCGAAAGAAACCAGCTGACTGATGCCTACAGAAGACGGATTCAGGTATTGGACGGTTACTTTGTCCATCCTCAAAATATTGTGGAACCGTCCCTGTCAGAAAGAAATTTCCCAAGAAGCAAAGAATGGCTTCAGTCTGCACTTTCCTTAGATGAATTACATCATGAGGGGTCAAACTCTGAGATGCATTTTCAGAAAGCGGGAAGTGAATTCCTGACGACACAGAATCGGCAAATGCCTTCACATTTTCTTGATTGGTCGAGAAAGGGTTTTAGGAACGGTGAAGTGAAGTCGGTTGAGAACCAGTCGCAGAGATCATATGAAGCTCAAGGACCTTTAAGTTCTGAAACATACGATGAAAATTCAGAGGAAGGTCAGAATATTGTAAACGTAGCTTCTATTGCCCAAAGATCCAACGAATCTCAAGCTATTGCATCAATTAAATCTCTAAATTATCAAAGAGAGAAAGTTAGTAATGGAGTTTTCCAAAACTTTCCATCAACGAGCAGTGCATTTGGTTCAAAACAAAGCTATCGCTACAAATTCATAAGCTCGCTTATCAAACCACAGCTCGCGGGCATTTTGGCCGATCTTAAATATTTGGACGCTCGTCGTCATCGTGTGAATCCGGTAGATTTAAAAGCGTTAAATAGTGACTTCCGGTCTCATGAATTAACGACTGAGAAAGATATTAAAGAGAATAAAGTTGGAGAATATTTAAATGAACGGGAAAATGGCAATGACATGCAAAAAGAAAGACAAAAGACCACAAAGAAATCTGAACCGCAATATCATGCTAATGACATGTTCATATTGGGTGCCCCAAATCGTTCAACGTATTTACATGATTTGTTCTTAGCTAATCCAATGCCAATAAATCATTCCTCTGCCTCGGAATTTGTGCTTGGAAAATACAAAGAACATGGACATTTGCGACCTACTATGCGATGGAAAAAGTTGAAAACTTCACTAAAATTTAAAAATCAGTTCAGAAAACTCCACGTATCAGGATTTCAGCAGCACGTCCATAATCAAACATCAAAGAAAGTGGGAGCACCTCCTCATGTGCACAAGTTTAAAGAAACAGCAACTGAAAATCACTCCGGATCATTTAATAAAGGGTTAGATAGATTTCGTGGATCCGGATTCCAAGAACCTGTGTACTCAGGAGAGAGTTGGAAATCGAATAGAAATGGTTCAAAATCTGACACAAGAGTTGGCACTCCACCTATCCATGAAACTGTTCGAAAGTTAAAACCCACATCTCGAGTGACGCTTCAATCATTGAAAGATAAAAGTATGTCGCAAACCGCAGAGAACAGTAATGAAGATGGCTCTAGTATAATAAACTTAAGTGGTGAGATGAACAGTTCCAGTACTCAAGAAATTCGTCCTTTGTCTTATTTTAGACCCACTGCTGGTCAAGCGTTTCCAAAGGTAACAACAGTGTCCAGCTATAGAAGGACAACTATTTCTAACGAGGAGTCTGGATCGAATTCGGATGTCGAATCGTGGACTGTTGGCAGTGGAGAGGGATCTGTTTATTCAGGCAGCGGCGAAGATGAAGCGTTTTTGAATAAATACTATAATCATTATAAGCCAGAACCGACTGTGAGGCCATTATCGTCAACATGGAAAACCCTTACAGGTAATCATTAATCCTTCATAAAAGGTGGGGCAGTGCAGCCAGAGACCAAGAGAAATGGGGGTGGGAGGTACAACAGGTGGGAGAGGAATGAGCGGAAAAGGGACCTCTAAAAGGGCAGAAAGTAGGAGACTGATAAAGAGAAATTACGCAACAATACTTCATATTTCGCAATCGAAAAAGGGTATTCTACTTAAACTGACACTAATGAAAATTGTTCACCTTTGGGGTTTAATTTCTGTTGCGAAAGTTGAAAAATGTTCTGGCAAGTTTGGCTTTGGTAAGAGTTATGTTGCTATGTGATTTTGCAACGTAAACTAACCTGGCCTGAAATACGTCTAACTTTGTAGTTCTCAGTCATCACAAACTATTTCGTAACTTCACTGCGAGCTACTGTACAAGATCACTAGCACATGTAAAATCTAGCATCCTATTGGATAACAACTATCACGTGAAGTTACAAGTTCCTCTGTTTCTGCTAGATAACATTTAGTGGAGTATTTTCTTTTTGTCTACTAATCAGGAATTCTCGGCGTGACAGACAAAGAAACGGAAGCAAAATGTGGGAAACTGGGAAAAACAGGTAACTTCTGCATCATAATCTGTTTGAGCTGAGCTTTTATGAGGGATGTGTCAGGGCTGTTTCTAGTTTTGCCCCGAGTAAGGGAATCCAAGACAGTCTTGGATACTGGATTCCACACCATGAATTCTGGATTCCAGCTACTAGATTCCAGATTCCAATTGTTAGTGGGATTCCGGATTCCTTGAACAGTATTCCATATTTCAAAGCCCAGGATTCCGGATTCCGCAAGCAAAAATTTCTTGGATTCCGGAATCCGTATTCCCTTACATGGGGAGACTAGTTCACCCTGGAATTTGAGAAATTACATGGTATTGACAAAACCACAGCTTCGAGTCAAACAAAATTGTCTCCCAAGCATAATATCAAACGTTACAAATAACAAAAGTGAACTTTGAAAACTCGCTGTCAGGCTATCAAGTTTTCAAAAACCACTATTGCAATCCGTTTCAATCTTCTTCAAGTTTATCCATCCGTGCCTCTTTTTATATTTACTGGGTTATTATTACCTTCTTTTAAGTTTTTGAGGGGTTATTTTTATGTTTCACTCAATTTGGAGGCCGTTGCCACCTTTCGATTTTTGATAAATTTCGTGGCACAGCTCCTTTTAAGAGATAAACCCCTATAATATTGGCAGGTAACTCTTTCTAAATTCTCATTTTGTAGACTATAGAAAGGAATGTCCGAATGGATGGCTTCAATTCGAGCAGTTTTGCTACTTGATCGTGCCACACCCAGTAAGGAAATGGGATGAATTTCCTCCAAAATGCAATGAAGAGAATGCACTTCTAGCCATGCCAAAAACGGACAAACAACTCGGTTTTTTGCAGGACAAAATATTGTCCTCAAAATACAAAACGAAGTATTTCTACATTGGTCTAAAGAAAAGGGATGGAGTTTGGAGATGGATCGATGACATGCCATATACACGTGATGTAAACGTGACAGATGAGCTTGGTAAAAAGAACTGTAGCGCACTTTCCAAAGACAGTGAAACGCACATGGTCACGTGTGGTGAACCAAAAGCTGGATATGTCTGCGAACTCAGAACAGGTACTGTTACTTATTTGCTGCAAATACATTGTTTACTCTATTAAGTACTTGAATTAACTGGCAACGTTTAAGGCAAGCCTAGTCTATGATCCAGGAACTAGTGTTTAATCTGTTTTTGTGGCGTTAGGCCACAGTCATGAACGTCAAAACACCCAGTTCATGAAAACGTTCCCTAGAACGAGTTTATGGCGAAATATGACGTATTTTTTTAGAGAGGACCCTTAACTCGAGGACTCGTGGAAGGCCAAATGTTAAATTTAAGTTCACAAAACAATTTGCGACTAGCAGTTGATCACTGTTAGTAATACATGCATTCTCTTCGGTAAACATTGTAGTTTCTAGATTTCATTTTTTCGTGGCTTTAAATTAGATACTTATCGACAAAAATGTTTTTTCAGCAAGTCATTTAATGCAATATTCATTTTAGAAATCGTTTTCAAGTTAATTCCGGCTGGTAAAAGTTGAAAATAGATATTTTACACTGCAATTTAGCCTTGAGAATGAAGTGATTCTTCTTCCCTACTTTTCTGAGGAGATAAAGTTAACTATGAAAAGTGCATTTGGTGGGTTCGAGAGTGAAATGTTGTCATTTTTTTTATGAATGTCCTGTCCCCAAATATATGCAAAAAGTATACACTTTACTTTTCGTTGCTGTTCTTGTCTTCTGTAGGAGTGAAGGCGATGCCAATTCTTGCTTTAGGAGACAGTTTAACGAGTGGTTTCCATAGCGAAGACAAGAACCACACACCTTACGCCAAGACCCTAGAGTACCTCTTGAACAAGGACGTGCACAGGTGCTATACCCTGACGACGGTTGCCAAGGATCGTATTGAAGCCTCTGAAATATCTGCGTTACTTCAAAATCACCTACAAAACTGTAAGGTTCAAACTGCACCTACACCCCTGTTTTAGCGATAACTGCTAATTTATATTGGTCTATTTCACGTGTAGCCTCCCACGTACACGATCCGAGGGTTGCTTCGAGGGTCACGTGTCACGGGGATGAGCACGTGATGGAACCTTCAGAACGTTTGCGTTGGAGGCTATATCCCGTGTTATATTTACTACTAATAAAGACTGTATGTATATTAGCATGTTTCATAGGATCTGTCTTACGGTGGCTGTGGTAACCTATAATGACATGATCATAGAATATTCACCAATATTCGGGTAAGGTACTTAGTGCATCCATCTACCAATTAGGAGCCGCAAACTGAAAATTACCGAAAACTCGGCAAGCCAACCTCTCTTAGTGATCGTTTTGGCTCACAAGTATAATTCGTTATCACGACTATGTAAGACCTATCTAAGATCATGTAATGAATATAAGGGACAGGGTCAGAGTTAACTTGATAAAATATTAGCAAGTGCTAGGAATTTCACCTCTTTAAATTGTGCAACAAGCGAGGCAACATATTAAAATAACTTACAGTTACCTGTACCCAGTCTTTTACCTGGGTTTAAGGGCGATAAGAATGACCATGAACTTTGCTTTTTCCCATGCAATCTATAGCCAGTTCCAGGTACGCTTGGGTCATAATTCTTGCTGGTACAAACGACATTCTCCATAACAGCGGCCACAGCAGCAAAAAGGCCTGGGACACAGCAGTGCACAACATCATTAATCTCCATATCATGTCGCACCGTTTTGGCGCAAAATCGGTGGCGGTTACCATTCCAGAAATGGACTGCGAGGAATCAGACAAACCACCTTGCCAGCACGCGCGTCTGGAACGACAATACATAAACGAAAAGATAAGGCATTATGCTAGGACTAACGAATTCACAATCCTTTGTGACTTGGCGACAAAATTGCCGCGGTATTCTTTAAAGAACGAGGAGAGAAACCAGTTTTGGGAGGAGGATTTACACATGAAACCAGCAGGATATGAAAGAATGGCAGAAATCATATACAGAGATCTTTTAGTACACATTGACGATGAAGAGAGCCTCAAGTAGCAAAGAGTGGAAATGCAGAAGGACACCTTATACTCATTTGCATCCGGCATCGATTAACAATAGAATAATATAGCAGCGCATTTGTTATATGCTTAATAAGCACCTCACCCTTGACCTTGCACCCAAGTTGTGTCTTGATCAATAAATTAGTGCGTTGTTTTTATTGGTCAGTAAGTTCAAATAATAGGAATTCTATTGAACTTTGTGCAATGTCAAGTCCAAGATATATAACAAAGATAAGAAGTCTGACAGACCTATTGTAAGCTTTATAGCCATTATGCACCTTACTGACTGTGACTGAAATCATGAAGGTAGATTAGGCGCTTAACCAAATGCCCCTTGAAAGACAAGAAAAGGGCGTAAATTGAAACACTTCAAGACTGATGTAAGTAAAACATCATTAATTAATGCTTTTTGCACATTTAAAATTATGCACAGTTAGAATGAGCAGATAACACTGTCATTTTTTTTTGGGAAGGTCAGAGTTTTAGTCCATGTTTTTCTTCAAATACATTTTCATGAAAATTTGTCCTGGCTTGTTTTATATTAGAATGGTAAGTTTTTGTTCAACTAGACCCCTCTTAGCGAATATCCGTTGGATCTCCAGCAGCACCAAATCATAGTGACACGGCCCCTTGCAGCTTGTTATTTTAGCTCAAAATATTTACTAGTATTGGCAACAATCTATAAAAATAACATACAAATGGTTTTTATTAGTTAAGAATTGTGAAAAGTGATTAATAAGTACCATATGTACCATTCCTGAACGAATTAAAGTTTTGGAGAAAGTTCACTTTTGAGCAAAGAGGAAAACCATGGTAGACGGAGAAGGAGCTTTCCGGAGCAGGAATAAAACAAACAATAACAGCAAAGTCAAGCCACATATTAAGGCCTCCTGCCGGGAAAGTTGCGGAAATAGAGCCCAGTTTGTAGGCGAAAGCCCAAAAAATAATGTAAAATTCGTTTTAAGAAACGCTAGTACGTACAATATTTTATTTATCATTTTAAGTATTTATTTAGCCTATCTCCTAAAATTGAGGATTGTTGCAGATGTAGTGCTCCAAATTGCATGTAAAGTAATATTAAAAGTGGACTAACATTTAATAAAGAAAATACAAAGGAACTCATTGTTTTATAAGTACTGTCTTTGAATCTGCTAAAAATAGCCGGAGTTTTTCTCCCCCCAAAATAATGAAAACAAGAAAGAAGAAAGAAAGAAACTGCGTCTTGTGTTTTAAACTCGATAAAACATAATTACAAAGTTTTTAAAAGTTCATTTAAGGTATGGTCGACTTATATTAAACAAGACAAGGAGACTCCCAATCTAGTGTTATACTATGTCAGGACTGAATGTTATGGCATTTTCGGCCTTCGGATTTTTTTTGTTACCTGGTCGTATAAAATTTATCTTCCTCGAAGCGAAAGCAATAATACACACAGAAACAGCCATCACTGGTCCTGCGAAGATAGTATTATTTCTCTCAAAGCACAACAGGATTATAGTGAAACTGCTTACTTAAAGTTGTTGAGAACAATTTATGGAATGATAGAACCTGCATGCATGTTTTCACTGAGTTTGCTCCACTAAGCCTCTACCCTTTAAGTACATGTTACAATCGGTACCATGGACATGCTTCTGTGGGTACATCCTGACACGGCTGGCGTCCCATCCAGGGGAAAAGGGAATACTCCCAGATGCTTCATGCAACAGAGTCTGTTTTTGTGATGCCTTGTTGAGGTCGACTCAGTGTCAAGTTAAACCTCAAAATGTTCTGTTGGTTTACAAGTTTTAGACTTAATTTAAATGGATTTATTCACTGGGAGATTTTGATATTAAACAATAAAAACTCTTTCAATTCAGCTATTTCATGTGGAGAAGGTTTTTAAAGTATATTTTTAAAAAATGCGAATGATTAGATTTTTTTGACCGATTTGATAGCTTTGCTTTCGATCACCTCAAACCACACTACATGTCACAATGTCCTGGACCTGCAGTCCCTGGTGTGCTTTAATTTGGGGGTACTAAGGATAGGCAAAGTAATTTGAAGGTAGCTGTTTCAATTAATTTGAACGATTAAAGAACTATATAAAACAAGGGTGAAGTAGTATCTCACGTAAAAACTGTCTGATTTTTTTTAAATTAAAAAAACAAAACAAAACAAAAAAAAAAACAGGTTGATTGAAAGAACGAGCGCCTGACGCTCACTGGAGCTTTACACATGCAAAGTAAGCGTTGAAAGGCTTCCTTGTGATCAGGCGTCCCTACCGATGGGTATGTCAAATTTTCCTTTCTCGCTCTCTCTAGCAGATACTCTTTGGGCTGTCTGATTTCAGTATTAAAGATAAAGCTAGATGGGCTTTGACATTTGCAGTTTGCTATACGCACATCCTGGATGGGATACACATTGCTGTTATTAATTCGTTTAGCATGGTGCTAAGTATGTTGACTATTTGTCGTTGTTTTGTGCTAACTCCCTTATCTCTCAGGTGCTGCATTGACAGCAGTACAGTTTGGACCAAAACTACCTGACTCCACGGCAGGTGGGATTGGTGAAATGTTTAAACGCATGACATCACACATATCCTCTCGAGGCTGTATTTTCACCGAGAAAACGAGAAACGCATCCAAATACACAAATTAATTGTTATGGCCTAGTCGTGGATTTAAAAAATAAGTGGCAAATCAAGTAAGCCTTGGACTAAAGGTTAGTGCGTCTCCTCTAAATGTTACGGTAAATGTTTTCTGAAAATTACTCTTGTTTTTTCTGAACTATCGCTTGTGCAGAGGCGAAAATTCAAGGGTCTTTTAAGGCTGTGAGTCGCTTAGTCTGGGTTGCTTTTAGGAACTGTCTCCTTTTAAACCCACCGTTTGGTTTATGAAAAAAAAATATTGAGTTTGTCGATAAAATTCCTTATCGATTGCGAAGTTTCATATTGCTCTTCGCACCCGCAAACGCACGGCAATTTAATATGCATGAATGATCAGAGTTGGTTCGAGGACCGGAATTTTAGCATCTGTGGTATATAAAAAGTAATCGTAACCCACTTTAAAGAGATGTACCCTCTACTGAGTATGGCTATTTGCTGATTGTCTCTTTATGAAGTGATCCCGTCTGTATTGTCAGTGTCTGACATTTCCTTCTCTAATTTCATCCTAACAGCCTATAAACGCCAGGCAATCATGTAGATAGTCTGCTAACAAGTCTTCAACTAACTCTTATATCCTTTTGTAGGAGGGATAGAGGGTAAAGGACATTCGTGCGTAAAACCACAAGCAACGCTCACTAAGCCCATGTGATATATCGGGAGTGATTATCATCAACGTTAAAGACAAATGCCCTCTATTGGCTAAAGCGGGAAATATATCGTAATATTCTTTAAACTGACCTGGGAGTTAGCTTAGGTAAACCTTACTTTTCCTTTATCTTTTGTTTTTTGCACGAGCTGCAGGTGCAGCGTATGCAAATTTTGAGAGGCTTACGCTGCACCCGTGCAAAGATATTGCAAAAGTTGAGTTTACATGAAGCGACAAACCAAACCGGAGGTAGTATTAAGGTATTTTTCGCTTTGGCCAATAGAGAATGTATGTTTGTCACTCCATTTTCTTTTTAAGTGACAGTATTCTATTCTTATCCATCGCAACTCACTGTACTGATTGACCATCTAACAGATCCTGTCGCAAGACATCAAGAATGTCTAAACTGACTGCATTCTTCTTAGTTTGGAGCTGCAGTTTTTGTTATGCAGGTATGTTAGGGGAATTGCAATAAAAAGTGAATTTGCCAACTGCAATATGCAAACTGAGGAGTAACTTAGAGGGAAGGATGGTAAATACCATATTTGCCTACTAATTACAACCCCATGGTAACTTGGTATGCAAATGTAACATTTATCATCTTTGCTAATCATTTTGTATATTTTTTCGACATATTTTCTATGAGCAAATTTGGTGCAAATTCTTTTTTTGTCCAGTGTATGAATTCTTACTAATGTACACAAGTGAGTTTTGCAGCCATAACAAACTATATCTATCTGTACAAAGGGGTTTCTTACTTTTAGAATTGCCCATTTAGAGGTTTTGCGTTTGACTGGATTGTGTTGTATTGAATCGGTACACTATGGGACTGATTTGAGGGTATTTTTCGGGTCTTTGGCTTCCACGAGGTTGCGCGGAAACTCGATCAAAATTCGTCCACAGTACAGTCCCATAGTTCAGTTCGACAAACTCATGCGCATCCTAAAATAGTCAATTGGGCTTTTAACTCGATATATATTATATGTTATTTATTATTTTATGATATATATGTTGTGGTTCAACTTTATCCTTGGTTTAAATTTTATTTTTCATTGTTTCAAACTCATTATCATACATTACCATACCCAAAAACAATGAAAAATAAAATTTAAACCAAGGACAAAATTGAACCACAACATATGCACGTATTATTTCTACTACCTACAGTTCAAGTGTTTGCCAAAGATGCGTATGGAAAGGTCATGTGGAAAGACGCACCCACTTGGAGAGATAGATCGGGTGAGTTATTAAGGACAATTTCGATGAACACAATTTCCATTTGCCCTGGGGCAATCTACTCTATTAATCTGGAATGAGCGTGCTTACTCCGACCCTGAAACCCTTAGTCTATAACAGACCAAGCAATTGCAACGCTAATTTGGAAAAGACATCCCTTCCTAGTTCGTATTGTAGTCACGGACTTGCAGAGAAGCTCAAATGATTCTCGCGTATTTTATGCCCACTGTGATATTACAAATATAATTCCGTTAAGAAAGGTGTAGAGTTAGCCTCTTATATAGAATGACGACAGCCAAATGCTGCTGTTTTATCCTAGACAAAAATGTAAACATTAATAACAAAACAGGAAAGAAAAAAGCGACTTGAGGTTTCCCGATATTTCGGAGGGACAAGCCATCCTTCTTCTAATGAAGAATCGGAAAGGCTTTATAATTCAAATAGTATACACAAGTAGCAGTTGGAAAGTTGGTTTTTGTTATTAATGTTTATCGCTCATTCTCCATGAGTCAATATCCCACAAATGATATCGAAATGATACCCTTTTCTAATGATACTCTCTGATTTCCTGGTTAAATTGTTCAGTAAGGCACAGTCTGACCCCCGCCTCCCAACTACGAAGCGGCATTAACCCTCGTTTGTCACATTTTTACAATCCCCCCGTCGCAACTCATCATAATGGGCCCTTTGCAGCTAGCCATTCACGTTGTACAAAACCGCCGTGCTGGAGAGCAAAAGTCGCACTGGGACAAGACAAACAAAGAAAATTAGCATTTAAAATTATGTATGTCTTTTGTTTGTCTTCGGTTAGCGGTTTTGTACCATGTGAATGGCTAGCTGTAAAGGGCCTATTCATTTAGAATGATTTCAGTGGTTTGATTGTTTTGAATCTCTTGCAGTTGTGCCTACTCCTCCAGCAGAAGCGGTGAAAGCTTATAAGAAGAGAGTGGAAAGTAAGACAAAGCGATAGTGAAGCTTAAGTTGTTATCCGAATTAAAGATTCTTAGAAACTGCACACCTCACCGTCCCCTAAACCCAGCCCTTACTAAGAACTTAGTGGCAATCTTCCGTTAAGCTGGTTAAGGGAGGGGTGTGTGGGTGGGCAATTTCCTAAAGTCTTCTGCTGATCCGTTATTACATTTATAAGAAGTACTTTTAGCCGCTTGGGTAATAGAGCGAATGACGTCACGGTGGCCATATAGGTGTTTCAAAACAATAAAACCGTGGCCATGTTGGTTTTCCAAACCAATACTGTGGAAGTTAAACTCTTTTCTTATATAAACACTTTGTTCAAGTAAATTTGAATAGATGGTGTCCGCTTGAGTGAAAACGCTCTATTTTCTCAGTTCATTAGGCTTTGTTATGTCTTAAAGCTAATAACTTTAATTTGTTGCTGTATGTCTGCGCTTCGCTTGGACGTTGTCTGTAATACCTAACTCAGGTTCATGATTGTAACCTAGAGATTACTGTCTATAACAACACCTTAAATTTCTACAGACATTATCCAATCCGGCAATTAAAGCTTATGTTGTTGTTGTTGTTACTGATGTACTGGCGATGCATAGGGCGATTTTTCCTGGTGACAATAACTATGACAAAATCCTGGCAAAAGAATTTGATAGAATCATACCTTACGCTCGTCTCTACTTTTGTGTCCTGGCTTTTCCCGTTTCTAACGCCTTCTCTTCTTCGGATATGACAGCAGAATTATGCTATGAAGTGGCTGTGAGATTTGTATGCTTGGGTTTTATCGTTTTCAATTGCAAACTCAAAATATCAGCAATCCAACTGAGAGCGTGAAGAAATGAATTTTAAAAACCTTAATTCGCCCCAAGCCTTAGTGTCAAAGAATAAACTCGAGGCAATTTCTGCAATGCATTCTCAAAGGATTAAACTAAAATAAATACCAACTCACATTTACAACTTGAAGCTGTCAAAGGTTTGCAAGGTATTTACCCAATAGACCTGCCGGAAGGTCTTGGTACTGAACTCTGACAGGTGACATAATTTCTTTAGACATGCAGAATTATTAGTTCTTTCATTGTCATATTTTCATAAGGCACGAAAATATCTTAGGCATTTCTGGCTGCTTGGCTGAGGCCGTGTCCTAACGAATCGGAACATTTTTGAAATCACACATAATTTCACCCGGATTCGTATGAAGTTGGCCCTGGACCACTCTGGAGAGCAGTTTCAAAAAGATGCGGTTTCGGTGAACAGATTCACTGGTTTCATGTGGAAGGAATTAGGCCGATTCGTGTAAAAAATTTACGGTTTCAAAAATATTCAGATTCGTGTGGACAGGGCCTAAATTCGTATGTCTGCTCGGTTAAATTCGCATGGCATGCTCTACGGCCTGTCAGGCTAATCCCTCGAGGCGTATCGTTCTCTTGTTGTAAACTCTTGCTTTCTCATGTCTTCTTGGGCTCTTTGGTATGTTGTCGGTTGGTTTTTCCCACCCTTCTCTCTTTTAGGGACGTCTACCATTCTTTCATTTATGCTCCTGCTCTGTGTCTTATGCAAAATGTTTCCTCTAATATCTCAATTAGCTTAAGTCACAGAGTGTCTTTTGAGTGGATGTAAGTTATGATGAATGACAAAGTCGACCCAGATCTTAGGCTACCATGTTGACTCTTGCCCTTTGTTCTAAGTCACTTGTACAAATTACATGTTTTTATATGGAGGATGAGCCCAAAAAGTTGCAATAGTAATGAAATATATAAATTTGTTGAGATAAATGTTTCTATTACTTAATCACTGATCACAATTATACGACAATGGTCGGAAGTTCGGTTTTGATTTGTTATCTCTCTTGACTAGTTCCCCATCCGTTCAAGTACCCAAAAGTGGTGAAGCATGTCCACGTAGGACCAGAAAACAGTTATGGAAAAGGTCAGTCCACGTTTGCAAGTAATAGTTTTACTCGGTTCGCAGTTATATCCCTCAGAAACAGTAATCTCATCAGTTACTTGACACTGTACTATTTACTTACATTCCATATTTACCTTCCACTTTTGCCTTTATCGACGTTATCTTACCTAACTGAGTTTTTTTTTGCAGAAAGAGAAATAAATAGAAAGAAAAACATAATTCAAAGGAGTAAGTCAACAATGTCTTTGTTATATCGTGCCATGTGACTTTTAGTTAGCCAATGAGTGCCGTGCATTTTGGGATACATTTTCAGCTATAAAACAATACTTGCGATTTTTTTCCCGCAGTTTTCTTTTCAATTCCTGTCGGAGCAGAGTTGCCACTTTATTACACTCATAAACAAGGTATGAATATAGTATTAACATTTGCTCTCTTTCTTATTTTGCCAGGTTTGAAAGCGAAATAAGTCTCTTTAAAAATATTTATTTTCAACAGTGATTTTATTCATATTATTGGCTTTCCCTAGCTTTCAGTCATTTTTCAGATCTCTAAAGTATTATTGATTAAATTATTTTTTTCGCTGTAGCAAATACACATAAAAAGAGCGTCGTGGCTTTGTCTGAAGGTAAGGGAATTGCACCAGTGGGTATTGTTACCTTCCAGATAATGTCAAAAGTAATTGAATAAATAAGTAGTGCTTAATGTTTCTTGAGCCCCTGACGTTTAAGCAAACTCATACTTTGCAGCGCTACAAAAAAAAAAAAAAGAAATGCACTTTATTTGAGTGTCAATGTATTTAGCACGAAAGTACTAATTGGGGATACTATATTTTACGTCTCCAACTGGAGACGGGACCGCCATTTCACGTGGTCGTCCGAGCCACGCGAAGGTCTAGCCTGTTGCAGTGCAAAGGGAGTACCTTCATTTCTCGGTTCTTTTAAGACCCTGAGTATTGGTCCGGCCCCAGGAATCGAACCCGCGACCTCCCGCTCTGCAGTCAACACGCTCTACCGACTGAGCTAACACCGCAGCTGACAAGGGAGGAGAAAGTTCTTGCAACTTCATTTGAGTTTGTTGTGATACAGCTAATATTCTTTTCAAGACTATAGGGGTGATAGGTAGCCTGTGATGCGCTCTACCATTTGAAACCTCCAAAAAAGTTATTAAACATCCGCGATTGGTTTGAGTGGTCACTTACGTTTTTATCACCTGTACCTATATTCTGTTTTATCAGCTTCTGACAATGAAGGCAGTAGATATTTCTCAGAGGAAACAAATGGTCCCTTCCGGTCAAACACCTGGGGACCACAACAGCTAATAGGTAAGTCTTAACTTTTTATGATGTAACCAGGAGCCAATAACCCGGAGCAAGCCTTCAGACCTCCTGTGCCCATGCAACAGCGTTTTCATTTAATATCTTATTCCAAGATCGATATTTCCGTATACTTTAATTGTCAAATACAAATCAGTCAGCAAAAACTAGATACGAAAAACAAGTATTGCTGATGTTTCGATGCCATATTCAATACTCCAAAGTGATGTTAAAAATAAACAGCACTGTGGAATGCCGCTGCACAGGCGGGAAGCATGGTAATGTGCCCGAAAACGACAGCGCATGATTTACATATCGTTTTCACATAACGTCATGTCGACCATTGGTGTAGCAAAACAAAGAAAGGAGGCCATGTTGGTGTGCCACACCCATCCTGTGGGAGTGAAACTTTTTTTCATGTAAAAAATTTTTTGGTTCCAAGAAACTAACATAGCTACTTATCACGAGAGTAAAAATACTCTGGAGGCTATCACGTGATGCTCTTGGCCGTCGGAGCCTCTTAAGAATTCCGAAGAAATCATTACGGCAACACTAAGATAAAAGTCTTTCGTGACTGACTTGTGGTCATTTTAAGCTAAATGAGAGAAAGTAAAATTCCTCACTGTGTGTTGATGTCGTATTCCAGAAGAAAGAAAATTTAATTCAGCATTTAACAGAATACTTGGAGGCATTATACCCACATAAATGTAACAATTTAAGATGTCATTGCTAGAGTTCTTACTTTGCTTGGAAGCAAAAGGTGAATTCAGTTGTGTTTTGCATTTCCGCAGGAGAAAACGACGAGCTTTCAGAAATAGAAGCAAGGACAATAGCGAAACAGAACTTGCTTCCCGGTGAAGGTGAGTAATAAATTCCTGTGATGTCAACAAGAACCAAGATATATGTCGATACTATAAACGCTACTAACTTCTCTCTCCTAGTTCAATTTATTTCAATAGGACGCGGGGGCCTTTTGAATGGAGGGAGTTTAATTTAGCGCCACACTTACTTCATGCCTTACTTGAGAAAACTATTTAATTTTGTCAGCTAAGAACAAGTTTAACCCTTTTATTATTTATAAAGAGGTTGTGAAGAGGAACTTGTGCTTCTTAGAGGTTTGAGGAAGGGCTTTAGTATAAGTAGTTTTACTATATAGCTACAGATGCAGTCAATTCCTTTCAAGATCAATCTTCGTTTCATAGGACCAGTAGGATACCATGGAATTGGTGGACAATATCTCCGTCCTCAAACTATTAGAAGAAATAAAATTTTAAGGAATACTGCACAGCTTTTTAAGAGACCCTCTAGAACGCCAGGTTTTCTAAACGGTAAGTGTTGTCTTGGGTTTTAAAGATAAACCATATGTTATTTTGATGCTACCATCCCTACCTAGTAGATCCCAGCTCCAATGGATTATCACCTACTGCGGGCAGCTATAATTTTTGCCTTCTTGTTGTAGTGGACAAATAAATTTCTTCACTTTTTGATGATTATATTGACGACGACAACAATAACAATGGGGTCATTGTAATAATCAGATAATGCCTTGGTCATATGATGAAGAGCAAAGATGATTACGAGATAATATAGATGAAAGTTATCATGATCAAATGATAATTGCGATTATGCTGAAAACGATGCTGAAAAGGTGACTCTAACACATTGCTTATGGCCAAAGTAGAAATGGCTCACTATAATCAACGAAAACGACCTACTGGTTAAAACACAGTTGGTTATAAGAGACATGATAGTGCTCGGTTTTAATGTTATTGTAAACTCTACAATTGTTGCCATTGGTTGATTAAGTTCCCTTATTAAGATGATAATCACAATGGTCCAGTTAATAATGAAAAAATTAAGGTAGCAGTGTTGATTAAGTGAAGTAAAGTGAAGATAGTGTGATAGTGATAGTAATAATAATGTAGCCATTTAATACGAATATTGTTGTAGTAAATAGACGATCAAATGATGCAAAGAATAAGAAAACAAGACGTGAACTCACAAGCATAAACAAAGCGTCTCCAGTAGGTATGTGATTCCTTCAGAAGGAATCGAAAGGATTATTATCTATTGCTTAGTTGCATTTTGTTTTCTTTCAGATTCGAGTAAACCAAAGAACGATTACGTAGCAAAAAGTAAGAGCCAAACATTTCACTTTCTTACTATTATAGCATTGTGCAAGCTTCTGGGGAAAAATTTTGCAAACTAATTTCAGTTTTTGTTCCTTTTACAGATAACCATGTAAAGAAATCAGGCCTTCCAAAAGGTATAGATCAAAGTTATCCATCACCATGGTTACTTTAGGTGCTCAGGAATTTACAAGACTGTTTTCCGGAAAAATTTATGCATGTGGACTCAAATGAACCTTAAATAATAGACGTGAATAAAATGCGAATAAAATTTTGACTTCGAAAACATGTTTTGCTGTTTTTTTAGTTTTCTCTCATTACGTTCGCCAAACACTTCTAATTGCTAAGAGTGTCGGTTTTATATGTGTTTAGAATTTCTTGGCACTTGAAGGCTTTAACACCTAGAGATAGCAACAATTACCTTTCCTTATATAACTTTTGCCTTCAACAGTTTGTACTGATGAAGCTAGGGTTGAGTCGAATATGAAGTCAAAATTGTTTTCTTGTTGCCTGTGACTACCTCACTATATTTTTCTATTATCCAATTCGTTCAGTTCACTCGCAAAAATGTTCCCGTAAAATGATGTAACATTTTAAGATGAACTAACGCTAGTAAACCTCTTTTCAAACTTAAATTTGAGTAATAAGATGGCCGTTTAAAAAACTGACGTTTAACCCTATTACTAGTGATAAGTAAACATTCGACACTTTCTAATACGGATATTGTCACGTAATATAACAATGCTTGCCCTACTTCATTTTATTTAGTGAGGGCTAAGTTAAAATTAAAGTAAACCCAGTAATTCCATTTATTTTTAATTAATGGCAGGAAACAAAAGGAACACAAGCCGGGGCTCGAGGAACAAAATAAATTCAGAGATAGAGAATCTGTTAACAAAGTTCCTTATTGTCCTGTAGATAGAATCTGTAAAGTTAAGTGGAGGTTACTTGTCTAAGAGATAAGTTAATTGCATGTGCGTTTCGGTCAGGTTACGTGCTTGTTACTTAAAGAATCACTATGCATGCAAATACTCTCAACATATGGAAAATTTGCCGAGACTCACTCAAGGTGAAAAGATGGCTATGAAAACATTAAGCTTTAGAACGAGAGTAAACACGCCGAAATAATAGTAATAATTTTTTTGAAAGAGCAAACTGCAGAATAGGAACTAACCGCAACTTAGGCAATTGACCTTAAAACTGACATTAGTTTTAATAGTTATTGATAATAAAAAAGCAGAAAAACCTTAAAAAATTAATTATAATGAGATAGAAGCGGTAAAATAAAAGTTATGCTTTGGTAAAGGCTGGATGTTGAACTTTATGTGACGGGTAATTTTGATTTATTACTTTTTACTAAACTAAAATATGTATTTTTTCCTCTTAAAAACACAGGTGAAACGCTAGACGATATTATGAAAACTAATCAAGCCGGCGAAAAGACGAAAAAATCTAATTAAAGAAGAGGAAAAAGTGATAACTGTTTGGTCGGTTTGATTGTCCCGTCTCTCCATCACCGCTCTTAGCGCCCCTGTCCCTATTGAGGTAGAAAATTTCTTAGCACAGGTGGTTTATATGAAAAAGTTGTAGAGAATTGTGAAAGTTAACAGTCCCTTGGTATTTCGCAAAGATTCATTTTGCACTTTTTGTTGCTTACTGTCCTTCCATTTCTAAAAGGGGTGAAATTTTAAGCAAGAGTGTGGTTCAAGGTGTTATCAGTCGGAACACCGTCCTGTTCTGAGTTCAGGGTGCTGGCGAATTACATAGCTTTGTCAACGCTAAGTTAGCTCTGTTATAACAACTTTTCCTAGAATATTCCTCGAGATGTGTAGACGAATGTAAAACTGATATTTTGCCTTGTATTTTAAGACTGTGCACATTTAGTGTTTAATGAAAATAAAGGAAAGAAGCAAATTATGTCATTTAATCGGTCAGTCATCAGTTGAAAATCAATAAAAATTTTTTGATGTTTACCAATTATCACGTTATCTTGTGGGAGAAACAGTGTATTTCTTCAAAACCCTCACTCTATGAACGACACGTCTGCTGTAGATAAAATAATTTTTCAGGTTAAACTAGAATTCAACCTACAGTCCTTGAGACAGAAATGCAGTATTCACTATTTTTTGTAGTTTTTGGGTGCCCTGATAAGGCAGTGGAACCTTTCTGAAAATATATTGCAGTTCTCCCTCACCTACCCTATACAAAGACGAAACTCGGAAAAATTCTGGATACACGCGTCCAACCTTCAAACTGCAAATGTGTCCCAGACATTTTTGTCCATTATTGAATTCAAAGAGGAAGGCAAAGAAAATTCTGGTCAAACCTGAAAACTTATTTTACCTACAACATCTTCACCCAAAGGCTTGTCCCAATGTATACGTTAGTGATATCCTTTATGATGGTTTTTTCTTTAGCAGGCCTAGTCCACACTAAAGGGGCTTTGTCCTAGAAAAAGAACTAGCCTTTTAAGGTCTACATTTTTATTTTCGTTTTTGTTTTACCTTGTACATTAACATGTTGCGTCGATTCCAGGATTGCTTAATTTCATGTGCTTGTTTTTAAAGCTCTCCTGATATGGCGCCAGTGATTTTCAAGAAGTTATCTTTTTACCTTTCAAATCACTTCCAATTTATCTGATGCTGACAATTTATCATTTCTAGAAGAAGTTTTTAAACTGAGTTACATTATTGGCGGGAGATCACGCTTTCTAATTTGGATGAAATCCAAACGGGAGAAATAAAATTTCGATTTCACTTTTGTCACAAAAAGTGTAGACAGGATCAAATATATGTTTGCTTTACAAAAAAAAGGATGTCACCAGCAAGCTTGACGGGGTTGAAAGAGAAAAATTCATGAAAATTAAGAAGATACTCCAGAGCTAAGGTGTTATTTTCATTGACCAAAAATTTATTATTTATGATGGTATCCGGTTGATTTTGTTTGAAACTTTTTTTTCAAAAGTTCAACTCGCCATTTGAGCTCAGGGATTGTTATCCCATGATACTGACCCTGGATAATCCGTCATATCGTACTCATCCTCATGCAGTAATTTGTTGAATATATCCTTGTACATCAGTTTTCCTGGTTTTGATAACGTCTAAAATTTGGTTATCTATGCATCCGAGAAATTTTGGTTCTGAAAAAATCGTACGAATGTACGTAGGTACTTCATGTAAGCCGGGGTGAAATTTTGCATTTCAAGCACTCGCGCGCGCGCCTCGGAGGTAAATCGCATGGCCGCTCGGATTTTAGAAAGAAAAAGTACAACAACAGCAACAACAACAAAGCCGATTCTTCCCTCCGACTAAATTTTAATGTCTACATTAACGTGGATAACAGAAAGAGCTAGAGCGAGAGATAAAGAACCAAAGAGATCATAATTTTGTTGGAAGAAAAACGTGAACATTTTATACGAAATGAGAAATGCTAGTGGTCACCAAGATGAAAAAGAGCGGCAGCGAAAAACAATAGATAACAGGAGCACATACGACATCAATTCTCCATAAAACGTGTAAATAGGAAGTTTCTGGAAGTTTCACGCCGTACTAGTCTTGCAAAACAACGGCAAAAAAATGTTCAAAAAAGTGTGCTGTAAGGCAAATTGTTTTTTGCTAAATAGACCTACGTTTTCGTTGCCGTTGTCGCTTAGCATTACACGATTTTATGTTTTGTTTGAGTAAACTTCAAATAATAACGAGAGCCTTGCTTTTAGCCTTGGCTAAATTATATCTTAATTGTTTGCATGTTTCCCCCTATTGCGGGTTCTCCTTTCCTGCCGGTAAAGGTTACAGAGCAGTGGAGACTGGAGACTCTAGGTAACATAAGTGAAAGAGAGAATGAATGAAATCTTGAGCTTATTCTTTCTGGGCACTCCGCGACAAAATAGTCTTAAACTCTGTTACGTAACACTAGAGCGTCGCGTATAACCCGTGGCATTCAGTCTTTTCGTTCACTTCTCTACGCCCCTTACTCAGCTCCACGCATTAAGCGATGAACTAGCTCTCTAACAGGAGCTTCCCTCTCGTACCGCCTAGGGCTGAGCTCCCATATCTTATAAGCATTATAGGCATTGTTTTCGGATGGCCTCAGTGAAAATATTTCTTGACTATACTGTGCTCCGCTGGCATTAGTTTATTTTATACTGAATGAAGCATAGCCCAATATATGTGCACGGTTTCGCAGATGGGCCATTTTCGATTAATGATATTTATGTTATTGACCGCCCGGCCAGGCGGAAAGTGAATTTCTTACCTGTCTGACAGAATGATAACACTACAGCCAATCAAAACGCTTGCTTGTGGGAAGCCACCTTGACGGAGTCAAAGTTGTCACGGTTGCTGCGTAGACATCGATTTCACTCGGGTTAATTTCCCTCACGAGTGAAGCCAACCACAAGATCTCTTTCAAACTCTGACGGTTGCTTGGAGAGATTACTGGGTGAGTTTCTGGCAATTTTAATAATTTCGATATATTTTAAGCTGCAATAAATCTAGCTTTGTATTTGGCCATATTGGCGCACACGATTGCCCAGGACTAAAAGACTATTGATGTTATATATAAAAAAAAAACTGCACTCTAGGTAATCTAGTGTTTTGGTTTTTTGTCGTATCTGTTTCTGACCTCTGATTTTACTCGCTAAAGTGAATATATCAATGAATATGGAATAATGCATTAAACCTTGCATGTTTCTCCTTGTTGTGGTCTATCCGCGCAGAGAAAAATCAAAATATCATTTTATTTAAGGACACACACGTGTTTGGTGAACGGCGGGTCATTTACCTCTTTAATAAATATGACAAATTAGTGTTAATCTTCGAACTTGACTTAACCCTAAAGATGCAAGAACCTCAGTGAAGGTCCGGTTGATCTTATAATTACATGAAGTTCGTGACCAGTCTGATTCTCTCCATGTCGTAATTATGGTTAATTCTAATCCTTGTGGCATACTGTAGTCTATTTTTTTATGACAGTGAAAGGCGGAAAGGCTTGATATGAGTCAAAAACGTAATGCAGACGAGCGATAGACGTTTATTTCAATTATCCGGCCAGATTTGGTTCAGAGCCTTGCGATCTCTCAGTGTCAAACCGATAATAACATAAAACACAAACAACCTGTTATTTTGGTGTTCAAGTGAATCGGAAGGATTACAGGCGTATTACCTATCACAGATTATCTTGCTGCTTAACACGAATAGCTCTTTAAACCGGGAAAAATTATCTGAAAGAGAAGCTCTTTGTCAAGAAGTACTTTGTTAAACGGTTAAATTTGCCTGGATTTTGGCCACTCTGTCCGCTACAGTGTTTTAATATTTCATGCTGTGCAAGCAAGATTTTTTGACAATTAACTAAGTGATCGCTTTCAAGTTGAATTCTAACGACATCTGATACGGCAGTTTGTCTACAAATATATATGATTCGGGGACCGCAGGAAATGCCATTGTAATTTGAAACTACACGAATAACTAGCTTCTGAGAAACTAGAGTAAACTGAGTCCAAAGTTGATTCGTTCTCGCACATTTTTACGTTGGTCTTATTGTCATACACCTTATCCAAAATGGCGTCAAATTTAATTTGATATTTTTTGTCCTAATGATAATTGGCCCTCGATGCCACGGTTCAAGGCAAAACTTCCTTTGAATTCTGTAAGTGCAATCGAGGCAAAGAGGGCTTATTAACATATTATCATGAAAAGTATTGCTTCCGCCATAACTGACTAAGGTGTATGTAATTAAAAGAGTTTCAGTAGCTACTTTGACGACAGCACCTAGAAAAGCATAAACTAATATTTCCAAAAAAATCATAGAAAAAGCTCGACCGCAAAACATAGAGGGCAGCCATGCATAGAGATAGTTAGGAACAGATGATGCTAAGCATTGAACATACATAAGGGAACGGTCGACTTAGTAAGGTCACTATAGAGAGGAGAAGTCGTTACGTCAGGTTCCCATGGTAGAAAACTTTCTGGATGACAACAAACCGCAGGCGTCACTAAAAAAGTGAATTCGCACTGTTTAAAATTTCATCGATCTTATTCAATTTCATTCAATTCGACAAATGTTGGTGAAATTTTCTGGGGTTGAATCCGAAAGGACCGTATCTATGTTTAGAAAAAGAAAAAGAAAATTGTTGTGTTGTGCTCACCAACTCCATAAAGTGGGCGCGTAAAATTAGGAAGTTTCATGTCTCAGTCGTGCAACGACAGCTACAAAAAAGCGTGATGCACGTGCAAAGTTGTTCTTTTGCTAATATACAATGTATACCTATTATAAACCTTTTTCTGTCGTTCTCGTTGCCGTGGCAGTCGTCGTTGCAGCGTGAGCTTCCTATTGTTGTGATCCAAAAAATTTGCTACCATGGTAACGTGACGTCACACTTCTCCTCTCTATTGGATATCCTGTACTGTATCTGTCATATTAAAAAGGTGTCCATCACGTAGTATGAAAAAGAAAAATGACTGAAGAATGGCAATGAAAACTTTAAGTATCTCTGCCTCTTGGACTGGTTGTCTGTTATTTTACAGAGAGATGACTGTAAGTGGAAACTCCTTGTCGGGATAGCCTTAGCTAATGCCGAGATAAACCTTTTTCACACTATCTTAAGCAGTGAAAAACACTCATAAATAAAAAGAGACTGACCTTCGTTAAACTAACAAGCATTCTGAACATTCTTGCTCTTCAAAGAACGTATGTGAAGTAGCAAAAAGGAAGCATTCCAGTAACGGTGAAATTTTCATTTTGATAAATTTCTGTTACTGAGTCGTTTTCTGCAAACGTTTTTATAGAGAATCAGTTAATTTAGGTTTCATTACACCCCGAATTAAAAGACAAATATAAACCTCCATCGTGTTATTTATATGGTTTTATCAGTAGGCAAATCCATTAAAGAACTGTTGCTAAAACTTATAATAGGCAATAGATGATCGGAAATGGGAAGTGGGTACTGGAATGGAAAAATGGAAAATGAGGATGTGATTTGTAGTTTATGGATAATGAGTTTGGAAGTTGACTTTCTCATCTAAGTTCTGAAAATTCGATTAAACATACAATTCTTCATTTTCCATTTTCATTTTAATATTTTCCTTGAGCTATCAGATGACTATTACCAATATTTACAGCATCTGTACAGTACGTTAGTTCTTCAGTCTTTGCATCGTGTTTAGTTAGTACAGTTAATTTCTCTTAAATATTGTCTTTGCCTTAATTTGAGTTTAACTGTGCGATGGATTATCAAGGCAGCATGAAAATTACGCATTGCATAAATATGACGCATAATTATAACTCTCATCTCCTTATTCTTAGGCCGAAATGAGGAGTCCATTGTGCATGATCAGCATCTTGCTTGGGGTTGCTGTACTGAGCAAAGGTAATAGAAGTCTTGTCAATATTCAGTGGTTCATAGACGTGCTTTTACCGTCCTGAATCAGATTCAAATTCTACCCTTCCCTCTTAAAGGCTGGGAAATTCAATTCGCAGGACAAGGCATGAATGATTTCAAGAAAAGTGCCATACCAAATCCTGCTGAAACTGGTGAGTATAATCTTTTCATCTGGTTGGTAAATGGTGGTTTATAGTCCACAATGAACTCTCACTCTGCTATTAACGGTATTCCGTAAAAGGGGAAAGCAGTTGAAATCTTGGAAAAAATTGCAATCGTTTGAATAAAATAATCTCTTGTTGCTGAAGGCCGCTCGTTGGTAGGGTGGTTCCCTGGGTGTCCATAATAAGTTTTGTTTTGAAACTATGTCCAGTGATGATCACCTTACGTTTTCTTTAACTTCCTTGCAATAAATAATTCACACCCCAGGAATAAGTATTTGTGCAAAGAAAAAGCTGTGGTGAAGAACACAGCATACACGAAACTGACCACGTTAAATGTTTTTTTGCTGCGTTTAAGGCCAGACTGTAGGAAATCCACTACCTTCCGCTTTTTTCGAGGAGCAAGTCCATGGAGGAAGACATCCGAGTGATGACAAGAGATACACAATAGGTATGGTGCTTACTTCTCAGGGATTACTGAATTGATTACATGCAAATGAATATGAATCTTCTGATATGACCACACTCAGTCTACTAAATTTGATAGGAATTTGGTAAATTCTATGACTCTTTCATTTCGTTGTGAAACGTCCATGATTATTCACCTACGCACAACATTCCTTTAGCAAAATCCCATTCCATGAGAAACAGAGGTTGTAAATGACTCCCACAGAACAAAGATACTCCTTCCATTTCGTCTTTATAAGATTACTTTTATCCAAAGTTGATTTTTTTTGTCATAATTTGTATTTTCACAGAGCAATTGAATCATGCTGCGAGACATCGTAATGTTTATTATGATACAGTCGGCGGAGATCCCTATGGTAAGAAGGGAAAAGAAAGAGATGAAGAGTTTTTGTTGTTGACACGTATTAGTATGTGTAATCAAATGGTGACGAGTGAAATTAGGGAATAATTTCACGCGCGTTATGCCCAAATCCTTATAATTTAATTATTAGGATTTGGACAAAACGCAAGTGAAATTATTCCCTAATTTCACGAGTATACCATTTGATTACCTATTAATATCATGGGTGACGAATTACCTTAGCAATCGAGGATTTTTGACTTGTTTATCCTGGATCGTATCGATCGATCGTGAACTCCACTCTCTCAAAAGTTTAGAGCTGAAATTTGGCTTAAGTTTTCGGAATTTTTCGACAACATACCTCTAAGAATCCTTCTTGATGAGCTCTTTCGTATGTTCAGGTTTTCTAAAGCGTCTTTTTATGCCCTGACATCTTCATTCATGACATTTTAAAACTTCGTCGCCATCTTGAAACGGAGACGTACGGCAGGTTGCCATGGCAATGTAGTAATTTCACATGTGAAATTACAAATTAACGCTGAAATTTCGCGCCAAAGTTAAGGAGTAATCCGTCACCTATGATATTACATGATAAAATAAAATTAGAATAAAGAATAAATGTATTAATACTATTTTGGTGATGAGAAGCCCAAACTAGAAGCCAGGGATTTGCAAGGTATGTGATCTAGAGTAAAACAATACAATACACCCACGCGTAACATTAAAAAAAGACGCCAAGTTACAGCAAGAACTTACATAAAACGAAATGGAACGATAATTAAAACTCTTAACAGGAAAGAAGAATGCAAAATCTAACATATAATTTTTGTTAAGTTCAGAGGGCAGATAGAGGAAAATAGGGAATTGAGCTGGCAGTAAATTTGAATTAGTTGTGTGGTTTTTCAAAGATGCTTGCTTGGTATTGGGTAGTTCTGACCTGTTTACATGGATAATCGAACAGGAGTGTTTTATAACATACGAAACGTTTAAAATATGATGCGGTATATTCTGCAAGTATGCTGAAGGGTCTTATGACTTACCGAGTCTATAAGCTCAAGAGATGGCCTTCATAGAGGGGTTGTGGGGGAGTTAATCACTTACTGTACCATGAATGACATGATCAAGGGAAATATCCATTTATAGCGGTCATCTTGGAATAAGGACAAAGAAAGTTTATATAGACTAATCTTTCCCACCCTCGGAGCCGCATCATTGCTGTATACATTTACAATTTTCCGTTGTATGCCTTCTCAGTGGCCTGCATTTTTACATATAGCACTTGACAAAAATATTTGTAAATTTGATTACTCCTTTTGTTATTCAGTAATATGGCTAACATAACTCTAGATCAAAATGACAAGGATTTTTAGACACAAGACTAGGAACCCTGTTAAGGTTCTTCTCGCGTTGGTGTTAACAAGCTATCGTAAAGTTCCAAAAGTAACGACCCCTCGAAAGTAGCGAACCTCCGAAGGTAGTGATAAAATGTCACAGGTGTTAGCAAATCCCGAAAGTTACCATCCCCCCCCCTCCCCCAAATAACGACCCTCCGAAAGTAGAGACCTCAAAACTAATTTTCCTTTTTGCAAAAAATAGATATCCTGAAAAAATGCCACACTGATCCTAGATATGTTAATAATGATTATTGAACATTCCTATTTATAACTCTTAAAGTACAGGATATACATTACCTTTTCTTCAAAAAGTATTCGTTTCATATTTTTTGCGATTTTATTTTTTTAAAGTGCCAATGTAGAGTACACGTTTTAACCAGCCGAAAGTAATTACCCCCGAAAGTAAGGATAGCAGAATGGTGGTAAATCCGAAAGCAACGAGGGTTGTTTCTTTCGTAACTTTACGGTAATGAAAAAAGCAAAATTGGTCGCTGTTAATTATGCCACTTTCATTCAATATTTCAACAGCATCGAACACTTGCCTAATGATTTTATTTTGAATAGGTCACAGCAGCACTGTGCTGACGCGTTCACACATCGCTGTTCCCGGTCACAAGAAGAAGAGGTCGCTTCTGCAAGCTGAAACGGCAATTTCTGCACGTGAGTATAAGAACCTTTCACTCACGTGGACAGCACCTATGTAAATTTCTTGGGACAAAACGTTTTTACGTGAGAGAAAAATTCAATTCACACAGGATTCTTTGGTACACCAGTATAGCCGCCGTTCCTTTGCTTTAAAAACCAATGTGGTCACCGTGAAGTCATGTGAAAACAATCTATACAATTGAACTATGGTGCCGAGGGGGATCATATCAGGATTAAAAGTTGCCTGGGAAACTCTGGGTATTACCCTGAAAGTTAAAGAAAATTTCAGCGCTTGTAACACGTTAGAAGATGTCTATACTTCAATTCTTCGGTTATACTATGACGTCTTACAACTCCAAACTGCCCTTTAACTAAGATCCGCCATATTGGATTGCTACTAAAAAATCAAAGTCCAAAAGTAAAGTTAGTTGCGATAAAAACATCGCATGAACAAAAATGTGCAGACAATAATCTTCTTTGAGATTTACTCAAAGGACTCAAAAACATCAACAAATTGATCCAAAAAATAAAATCCATTTGTCAGCCAGACAAGAAAGATAGTATTTTTGAATTAACAGCTTTTTCGTTTTTTTAACATTTTTTTTTAGCCCAAGCGGCTCCTGCAGGTTTCTTTGAGCAAAAAATTGCTGGGAGAAGACATCCTAATGACGATAAGAGATACACCATCGGTAAATATTCATGGCACAGTTATAATTTTTTTACATTGCTACATTAATATTTGTTTGCTAAATTCGTGTAGATTCGTCTTTACAGGTACTAAGACTGCGCTTTATTTTTTTAACCTCAGCTCAGTTAAACCAAGCCGCCAGACACCGAAATGTATATTACGATACTGTTGGGGGAGATCCATATGGTGAGAGAGGGCGACATTCTTAATTATTTGTTGGCATGAGTCAGTAACTGATATCCATTGACCACGGGGAAAAGAACGAGGGGAGAAGATAGAATGGATCCAGTATTTGTGTGAGGAGAGGGGGAGGATCCAGCAGTAAAAGGGAAAATGGTGATCGGTAGCAAAACGACATTATACTATGAACTATGAATGAACTACGGTGAAACGGACGTGAGCTATAGCGGGATGTGGGAAAGGAAAACAACGTGTTAACTTAATTTAGAAGATGGGGGAACTATCAGAATCTAGTATGAACGTAGTAATGGCACGAATACGGCGTGAAACGACTTATTTTCCACGTTATACTACTTCATGAGAAATGTCTGCAATTTGATTGGCTTAGAGCAGTGGTATTTCAGGTTAATTTGAAATACCTACATGTGTAAATTACAAACCTTTGCGGGTAGTAGTATATACAAATAATAGCATGATTTGTAGTGATATTTGGCATAAATACCACTCATGATATTTAAAAATTGTCTCAAATTACGTATAACAATTTCGAAATATCACTCGTGGTATTTATGCCAAATATCACTACAAAATATGCTATTACCTATACAAAATCTAACTGTTTCCTACTGCTGATCAGTGTAACCAAGAGCCATTATGGCTCTTGGTGTACACAAAGACTTGGGATAAGATTGATGTGAAAAGTGATTAACCCTAGCACACATGCACAGATTCGGCTCGCAAATCTCATCCACCTCGACATCGCCTTTGGATATAGTTCCATGTTAAGTGCTTTGGACAGAAAATGGCGAGATAAATTTCATTTCGAGGGGTGGTGTCTAGATCTATCTGCCTTATAGTATCCATACAGATGTATACTACAGTATGTGGTATGCATCTAGTCGGCTCTGGACTCATTAGGGTGTTCGTGACGAATTTTCTCTGTAGAATAAGATAACCTACGAAGTGGGCAGTGACATCCAAATATTGACGAAATTATAATTGCAATATTTCATCAGGTAACAGCAGCCCAGTTCTCACCCGTTCACATATTGCCGTGCCCGGACAGAAAAAGAAGAGATCAGCTGAACAAGAAAAGTAAGAGAGACTGAAATTTCGTCGTTAAACTCAAAATGTACAGGCTGGAATAGATCTTTCCCGCATTCTACCTAGGAGCACAGACAAAGCAGCAGTTTTCTCCCTTTCATTTTTTCGCAACGATTTGCTACTCATCTTCTAGCGTTATTGGATAATGCTCTGCTGGAATCTACTTGATTTCACTAGGAATCCGTTTGTTTGAAATGAAAATTTTAATGGAAGTATCGGGAGCAGTGTTTCACACGTTATGTACTCTCTCACGACACTGATCTTGTCCAACTAACTTTAGAGGCCTTCGCTCCAACGAGTCTCCTTTAGCTGAGTGGTAGTAGCAAGAAGATTATAGGTTCGACAGCTGCTGCGGGTGGATTTTTTCGTCCGACCCGCCTGTGCCACAGGCTGAAAAAAAATCTTTTTTACAGGATTATTTATTTCTTGCAGGCAGACATTGAAAAAGAAGCTCCGACTCTGCTCAAAATGCTGTTGCTGAGCCGCTGAAACGTTTAATACTGTATATAAGTAACCTATGACATTGGGAAGGAATAAATAAAAAAATTGTTTTGTTATTTCTGTACTGAGTAATCATAATTAATTTTATCAAAAGTTATCTATCATAAGAAGATTACCTTTGAACAATTTTCTTCAACTGTCAGTGAATTTTGATAATGTATTTTTATGGTCAGAATTGGCATTGATTCTGTCAGGTGCTGGGGTTTGCCACAATATATCAGTAAAAGCTGAAAAATTGTGGCGAAGGTACCGTGAATAGCCATATTTTGGCCGCCCTCACCACACCGCTTTATCTAAATGCGCGCTCAAGTGTCACGCGTGCGTAGAGTTAGAAAATGTCTGATAGCCGGTGTGGCGATTTTCACTGTAAAGGATGGAAACAAAAGAAAAAGTTTCTTAAAAACTACTCATTGGAATTGGCATAATTCGGGTAGTCATTGTATTTTAATCATTAAAAATTTTAGCAATAAAGATTTGAGGGTAATAGAACAGAAACTACTGACTCTTTCTTTTTTTATATTTAAATTTAGACTCCTATTTAAGTAAAGCCGGGAGTTGGATGATAGACCTTACCACCGGGGTCTATGTCCCTTCCTCCGTAACAGTTAGCGTCAAAAGAATGATTCTGTTGTGTTTACATTATTATTTACCAAGTCCATAGGCTAATAAGAAAAAAGCTATAATTCCAAGAGTCTCAAGATACGTTTTCTTCGATCTGAAATTATTATGTCTAAAACCGCTGAAAATCTCTTTTTGATGGGCTTAGTTCGCTGTGGAGCGTGTTTTACTCTTAGAACAAAACACAATCCGAAAATAAGCATTGTAATATATCCTGTACATTATGACTTAAGGTCCAGTACATCCATGTCATTGTTGATACACCCTGCTCATGTATGTATTCGGAGCAGTTTTCCCTCGCATCGTACGTCGGAATTCGTCTGCCACTGCTATATGCAATCTACACCTTACACTGAGAGCACGGAGCCCAAAAGTGTGACCACTTCAATACTGTCTCGCCATATTTACAAAAAACAAATTCAATATGAATATCTGGTTATTATCGAAGGCTAAATTAATGGCAATTTTTTCACACCAAACTTCGTTGTATGTCCATGTTTTAAAGTAGCTATTCGGAAGAGGAGCAGTTCATGTGATGCTTCGTCTTCTTCGTCCACTGTTCGGAAAGAAGACCTCTTGTTGACTCAAAACTTGATAATTGCTGAAAGCTATCATAAAGAAACGAAAATAATTAGTTTCTTTGTTACCCTAACTGAAGAAAGAGCGATTATTAAGGAGAAAGGGACCATGAAGGTATTACTGATCAAAAGGCGTGAAAATATACTTGTGAGGAAAGCCTGCAGGTATCTTCTAAAAAATTAAACCAATGGGCGGAAGAGGACTGAAATCAACGCAAGAATGAAGATTGTCAACTTATACTAACTAGCAATGGAAAAACACAAAACAGAGCCAGCTCTAACTAAAAACAAATTTGTTAAATAACATTATAATCTGTTTAAAATCATAACAAATTTGGACTTCGAATCACTTACATTGACTATCACCAGCGATACCATCAAAGATAACGTTCCTGTGACGTGCACGTTGGTTTTGCGAGGCTGTGATAAAGACAAAAAGTTGTTAACAACGGCAGTATGTCGCAGTGGAACATGAGAGGCAAGAAAAGCATTGTATATTCAGGCTTTTCCCGAATATTTGAAACGTACAGTTGTTACACCCGGGTCGGTTCGACATTCCGCAATAACATCTCTGGAGGTGACAGAAGCAAAGTGTGCTTAGCACTACACGGGAAGTAAATATGACTTTATTTCTGTGAGAATGAGTATTAAGGGGGGCAGCCAGGTTATTTTTTAGCGAAAATGATGTTGATTTGGGAATGAAATAAATTAGGGAAGAAAAGGTATACACGTAAACCAGTTAGTTCGCGAAAAGGCTCAGAGGCACTCTGCTGTGGTGGTGGACTATCTGGTATTTGTCCACTAATTATTCACTTCATATTTGTAGTTTAAGTTTTTAACAACCCCCAAATTCACTATTTTCCAATGTTTCAACATTTTAAACATCCCCCCTTAATTTTTATACATTAGAAACATTTAAATATTTATCTTCCAAAAGTTGTCAAAAAGTTATTAAACCAAGGACTCCAAGGTAATGGAGTCGTTTTTTGATTGAATGAAATCTTGGCTAAAACGAAAAAGGGTAGAAAAAGAGAAACAAACACAAAAACAAAAACAAAAAACAATGCTTTTAACCAGACTGCCCCCTTAAAATCAATGAATATGATTTATTGCTCACCTAAATACTTGTCTCCAAAGCCCCATTCCTTTTTCTTTCCTGCAGGCTTAGTAGTGGGATGAAAGGCAACTTGTGGTTTCTTCGTCGCTGTGTAGGGTGCACGCTTTGGCGAAGGTGTAGTTAAAAACCGTGACCGGGGAGGTTTCGTCATTCCAGGCTGCGTTGTAGCAGCAAGTGAGTCCAGTAAGGGTCCCAAAGGGATATTAAACGTGTCACTTGACGCAGTCTTGCTGTTTGATGATGAAGCGGCGGACGGTAATGTGACTATTGGCGAAGTTCTAGAAGGTGACGACTGTGTTGTTGAAGTGGTTGAACCGACTTGATTTCCCACCTTATTTATGGGTGGTAGCTCCATGGAAGAGTTGGACAAGAACGTTGCATTAGTGATGGTGACATCTTCAAGCTTCCATCCAGGCATTGTGACGTTTTCGGGAATCCTTATAATTGGAAAATTTGCTGCTTCTTCTATTCCAGTGGGGCTCTCAGGAGATGACAAAGCCACACTGCTGTTGTCCACGGCTTGACCTGTAATTGCGGTGTTATTTTGAGGTTGTAACATCTTGTTTGTAGACTTTGTTTTAACTGAAACGGCGGCATGAGAGGAGTACGTTGTATTTTTATGCGCGGGAGAACTTTCTGAGTCTACTGAAGAACTTGTACGTAAAGAATTTTCATCTTGGTCCGCATCAAGAGATGATGGAAACGAAGATGAAGGAAGAAACAAGACGGTGTCTTTATCAGGAGGTGTTGCAATGATGTATGACGAATTTTCGTACTCTGCTTGAAGTACGGGCAAAGACGAACTTGCAAAATCGGCGTCAGTCGGATGTGAATTGCCATTTTCACTTGAACTAATCTGTTTGTAACTGGTGTTGGAGACTTGGACAGAGTGACTCTGATGATTCTTGTAAGTTAAGGTCGATTGGAAACCAGATGAGAATGAAGAAGATGAGGATACGTCAGAGATTGAATACGGTGATGAGCTTGGAGCTGGGGCTGGTGAAGGTATAGGAGCGTTCGTCGGTGAGTAGGGGCTAAATACCTGTTGGGTTTCAGAAGATTGTGCTCGTGAGGAAGACGCTACAGTGGAGACTCCATATGACGATGGAGACAAAGAAGACGATGGAGCAGGAGCTGCGGCATAATATGAGCTGCTTGGAGCCGATTGGTCTGATGACGGAACAGCAGGAGGCCGGTAGGCAGGGTGACCATTATAGCTTGATGCTGATTGAGAAGCCCAGTTTGCAGTTGGAGAGGATGCACCGTAAGTTTGGTAAGCGGTTTGTGGTGATGGATACTCAGGACTGCCATAATTACTATAACCCTGATGCTGCGAACTAGGCGGTGATGGATTACTAGGGTGACTGTTTAAGGCGGCTTCTGGTTGAGATGGTGGTTGAAAAGAAGATGATTCTGTTACAGATGCAGCTGATAGGGTGGCGGATTGAATACCCTTGTTTTTCGATTTCGTGGTATCTTGAGACGTTGATGAACTGTTGATTATTTTGTAAGTTACGGGGGAGTCAGCGGCTGGTTTGGTTTTAGATTCTTGACCCAAGTTATTGGAGCCTACATTTGAATCTCCTACGTTATATAAGGGAGCTTTACCTCCTTGTTCAGATACAGATGGACTTCCAGGTACAAACGAGTTACTATCAGTGGCTTTTGGAGCCTCTGGAGCCTCTGGAGCCTCTGGAGCCTCCGCTTCCTTGTTATAAGTGCTTACGTAATAGACAGGATAGTGGTGACCATGACTATTTGTAGCCGAATTATTTGTTGAGTTAGTAGGCAATGACAATGTTTTTATAATTGAATTGGCTTTTAGCCTTCGTTCCTCATTCTTTTCATTGTCCTTAACATAGTATACTGGATACCCATTGTCTTTGCCACTTTGTGAAGGTGATGAAGATGCAATTGATTGATTAGCTTTTGAATTGAAAATTCTCTGAGAAGGTTGTGGCTGTGTATTAGGTTCTTCAGGGTTGGAAACGTAGTATACAGGATAGCTATCACTTTTTGATGGGCCTGGATCTTCTACGCTATTCGAGTTTGAATGCTGTTGGAATGTCGATTGACTAGTACTTGAGTTGGAAATACTCTGCGAAGACTGTTGTTGTCTGTTTGTTTCTTCAGGATTGGATACATAATACACAGGATAGCTATCACCCTTTGATGGACCTGGTTCTACCAAGCCATTTGAGTTTGATTGCTGTTGGAGTGCAGATTGACTAGTTTTTGGGTTGGAATAACTCTGGGAGGACTGTTGCTGTTTGTTTGTTTCTTCAGGACTGGACACGTAGTACACAGGATAACTATCATCCGTTTTTGGTTCTGATTGGCCTGCGGCTATTTGTGGTTGATTGCGATTGAAGTGTGAATAAAGTGTGGATGACCCTGACAATAAAGAATTGTTTGTTTCGTTGGGGGTTTTTGATAGTGCTGGTGTGGGAGGATAACTGGCTGACCACTGTTGTGGGGATGCAGCGGACGCCACAGAACTACTTTTCTCGGCAGAGGACAGGAGTGCTTTTGTCGATGTAGAGCTGGCTTGTGCTGGGGCAACTTGAACACTTGCATAGGTTGCTGGTTGCTGTTGTCCGCCTGGCGCTTTTGAAAGTGTCCCAGATCGTCTGTCCCAACCAACTATGTTTGAGTTTTCTATTTAACAAATCGCCAAAAAAAACCATCGATCAGTTCACTCTTTGCTTTTATTAAATCCCGCCATCATTATAAGATAACTTTAAACATGAACTCTATACTATCTGACCTATTCCATCGGGTAGTTATATTGTGCTAAAACGTGAAAAAAAGGGTGCGAATGTGCTCTGAATGGTAAGAGCTTAAAGCGAACGAATTCCGTACGAATCGAAAAACAGTTTATTTTTTAACCCTTCTTTTAATCAGAGCTAACTCTTTAAGAGAAAATATCAACTTACTCCACGTTATGGAGCCAGTTTGTAGTGCAGCATTTTGAGATGAAAGATGCTGCCACGAAGAAGGTATATAACCGGGGTATCCTGAAAACAAAATTTTATATTTAATTTAAAAAGGTAAAGTTTAAAACGTGGAATTTTACGAAAAAAAAGAAGCCGAATTCATTCCCTACTGGGAACTGTCTTTATTTAGGATGGAAAACCATGACTGATTTTCTGACTGTTAAAGGGAAAACCAGAGAAAACTCTAAAAGAAAATAATTCCAGATAAATAGTTAAGAATATATAAGCTCGAGTAAGGGAAACTATCGAAAACTTTGAATCATACAGTGTACCTTGAGCTGCAACTTGTCTTTTATTAAATCTTATCGAAGGCTCTGAAATGAATAAATTTTCTGATGATTAGTTAGGTAAAATGTAAAAGTGTCATGCCCATTTTGGCTTGTTTGTGGGAAATTCAGAACTCTTCCGTAAGGTCGTTGAGAAAGCATTGCAAACTGGCTCTGTTGAAACTCAGTGGGTTGGATTGGGCGTCGATGGTTCCCCTGTTTTGTCCAAAATGTGTTCGGTTGTATTTCTTTTTAAAAGAAATTAAAACTTCCTTCTTGTTTGTACAGAGAATAATTTTACAAAAGTAAGAACGTCAGAGTGATCAAAGTCATCAACTGCCCTTTTATTTTTTGGCACACGTTTTGGAAAGAAGCTGGTTGTGCAAGTGAGTGCTCGCTAAATAATCAATGTGTATGATAACTGTTGACTTCTGTCATGTATTTACCTCTTGCAATCCTCTTGTCCAATGGAGCTGAAAAAAGTAAAACTTCATGTTGGTCAATGTAAGACGATGTTATGACTTTTCATGTGAAGCAATTTTTGAAAGCAATTTTTGAGTTTGCTTGATAGAGTGGCCTACATCCGGTAGAGAAAAGAATATTGTATCCGGGGTATTTGGCACTTACCAGAATAAACCAATGAGATAACATTAGTTAGTGAAATAAGAAAGAGGAGCCTCATCACTTCCCTTTCCACGCAACAAACACGCTTGCTGTAAATGGAAGGAAATAAAAGAAAACCCAATTATAACGTCATTCCAATGGCGCAAAATCCCAATGCAAAATAGAACGATATTTGTTATGCTTCTAAAGTTACTATCTCTGAGCAATAAGACACCACATTATTCTGGTATATAGCTCAAGCTCACTCAATGACCCTAAAGGTGATGCGGCCAAAAAAACAGACAAACATTCCCTTTGTAAAAGTGACGCGTAGCGGGTTAAAGTTAAAAGCCATTTTCTTTCCTACAGTAATAGACTTGTAAGATTAGTTAGCAACGCTTGGCGCATCAACTGCTGCTTAGTCAGAAAAGCCAATACTTACAGCCCCACTTGAATGGTAGAGGAAAGGATCAAGAAGTTGGTCATAATCGCGTTTAGAAAGTGATAAAAGGAGTAAAGCGGCAAGGGAGTAAAGTGATCTTTCAAGTCTCTCCCGACCTAAGCCAGTGATAAAGGGAGTGAAGCGGCTTGGGAGTAAGACCGTTAAATTTTTGCCAGGTTGCTTATAACTCTCTCCGTTAGCTGAGCAGCCAGTGATAAAGGACTGATTCAATAGTGATTATTTTATGACATGATGAAACTAAGAGCAATAACTAGGAACTGTTTCACCTAGCCGTTTATAAAATCATGACATTGTTATAGTGTTGACTAACGATAAAATTAATATATTGTGAATAACAATAAAATTTATCACGTACACGATATCAGTAAAGTCACGGATCAATGATCAAGTTAAATGTATGTTTTCGCAGTGGAAAAAGAATGAAATAAGTTTACTAGTAAGGATCATGGGCCATTGGTCAGTTTCTAGCTCAGACGTTATAAATCTCAACATTAAAATACTGCTATCTAATATGACAAAAAAATAAATCTGAGGTTATAAATATGACTTCACAAAAATATAAATATTCCTTTGATCATATTGTCCATATAATCGTATGCGATAGAATGCAATTGAGCAAAATTAACAAGAACACTCTTCGACTATAAGTGGCAGCTTAAAGACTGTTAAAACAGTCTTTATGCCGCTACTTATAGCTGGGGATCATTTAAAAATTCAATTTCGGTAAACTACTACAAATCAAATATTGTTTCCCGAGGAAAATATAAAAACATGGAACTCCGGCTCGCCTTAGAATTTATATATATTATATAAGTGAGACGAAAGGAACCAAGACTAAAGACCAAATACACCTTTCACGCTGACAAGAGTCATTGAAGACAGTTAATTGCAATCAATTTGTTTAGGAACTTCGTCTAACAAATCTTGTGTCGTATTAGAAATATTCCCTATGGCATGCAGTGTTCTGGTCTAACTTAATGAACCCAATAACTAGCTAGAGTAGTTTTCCTGAAGAATATTAAACGCCAATAAGGCCACTCATGTATACCACTAACTACTGAATAGTAAGGATGTCTGTTCACAACGATCAGAGTCGTAAGTTCTGTTATTTGATAATTAACGAATGAAGGTAGATTTAGGTTTTTTAGATTGACGACGCATTGAACAGCCCTTAGATGAAATTTTCTTAACTTGGTTTAAAGATAATGGAAGAGCATAAGATCTAAATCTTCATACACTTGTTTACCACAAAGTAAAATAGAACGTTTTCCTCAGAAATTTAGTTTACACAACTGATAACTTACCTCGATCAGTCGTTATGTTTCTGGAGTAAACTTGACTTCTTCTGGCAACCCTTGAGAAAATAATCTCAAAAAAAATAAAACCGACTCTAAACCAACGCCTGAAGCGATAATGAAAAATCCATGGACTTTGTACGGATTTATAGCTGATTTCAAGTCAGATATTTCGAGTCGAAAAAATCGGAGGAACGAAGGAAATTTCGATAGAGTCTTTCAACAGGTGGGATGTGTCACCCGCATTTGATTTATTACGTCACACTAAACCCCGGTTCCAGGATTTGATCAAGCGAGCACACAGACAAATTGTTTGATTAGTTAAGGCGGGAAATATTTTGTTGATTAATGGAACAGTCAATACTTATAATTTATGTTTATGTACCGCGCTTCCTGTGGATTAATAGCAACCACCATTCTTTGGGTTAGCGAGTCTGGGTATAGGACATCGCTTGCTGGTAAATGCCAATTCAAATCCGACGCTTCTTTGCTGTAACACATTGCCCTCAGTGTTTTGAGTCACCTTAGGGATGCCCTAAACCATTCTAATATTTTAATTACACATTTGTGAAACTCAGATCATTTCGTTAAGGGGCTATGATGACTCTGTTCATACTGTGCATATTCTTCAATTCAAGCAACACAAGTTAGTGCGGATACCTTCGGTACTGAGAGTAAGTGCCTTTACGATATGGCTAGCTTCACAAGCGGGCAAGTCGAAGTGGATGCTGTGTTCTGATTGGCTTCTCGAATGGACAGGATGGGCTTACCGTGCCGGCTTGGGATTTCCCGTTTTGCTGCCGTAATAAAACATTTTCCGCTGGCAAAGTTTGTACGGTCAAAAGACAATGCTATGGGAAATTATGGATGGAAGCGATCATTGTTGCTTTTTTGGATGTATACAAGCGACGGCAAATGTCCTCACAGCGAGCAATACTGAAGCAGGCCTTGTCGTAACGCATGACTATAAAGGGTCTATAAAGTTGTCGCCTCGACACGTTTAAAGAGAATAAAGAAACTCGACCGCGATTACTCGCATTGGCAAATGTTATCACTTGCATGCTCCCTGAAATACCACGTGACATTGCTTTTATCCCATCAGTCCCAAAGCGCGTGCAAAGATGGCGGGTATCGTGAATAAGGTCTATTTATAACATAACAAAAGTAAATCGCTCGCGCTGATTGGTCAGTTAGCCACTACCATTTGCCCGTGGGTGACGGTAAAATACACCGATGAAATGGACAGATGAAAAGTGGAAGTTGAGGAAAATACTAAGCTGTCGTTTTGAAGGAAAAAAGACAAAAGATCAAGCGACAAATTTGCCCTGGATGAATTAATCACTGTTTTCCTCGCGGCCAGAATGGGCTGAAGGAAAATCGAGCGAGCGAAGATTTAAGGTACGTTTTGTATGTTTTTTTTATAGAAGAGAAAGTCTGTTTGAAATGTAAATTTATCAATTAGCATTGTGTTACTGACTTTTTGGTCAAGCTGATGTTAAATTCAAGCAAATATTTTAGAAAACACGCTCAAATTCGAGACAGCTTTGTTGTGAAGTTGTCACCGCATCGATTAAAAATTTTAGTTGAGTTTAAACGGGCACATTACGCTGGAATAAGCGAATTTCATTTGAGTACAGAAACATTTGGATTTTCAAATAAATTTTTCAAAAAATAACTTCTACGTGTATTATTTTGTTCCTCAGTGTTCATTCATAACAGTCGTTCAGAGAACGGTCGAAAAACTTTGCAACTTTGACTTTCATAGCTGGATTTCCTCGAACAGATTTCGATACAAAGCTAGTTAATTTCTTTTTAAAATTAGTGTTACCTGTTATTCTAAAGAAATTATAGTCAAATTTTCTCATTTCTACTTTACGTTTATTTCAAAAATGTCACATAAACAAGCTTGATAATTATTTCATTTATTTAGTTTTAGCTAATTTTTTTAGTCTTTTTAGTTGGTGTTTATAGTTGCAGCTATAGTTTTCCCTCAAAGTTTTTACCCTAATATTAAGAGCAAGTAGACAGATGCCATTCAGAATAACAACGAAAAACGTTTTGCAATTTACCTGAAGACGAAGAACGGTTGATTCAGCGAAAGAAAAACTCAAAGGCGAGTTTTTGAAAAACATAGACCATGATTTGTTTACACGCGGGCAGATGGCAGCATACATGAACTCGTACCGATGACTCCGAAGGCAAATGGAAAATAATGTTTTTCTCTTTTGATTATGTTATAAAAGAAATGGTAAACGTTGCAGCTGTACAACCATGGAATAATGGATGCACTTGGGAGGTTTGCTAAGCACTCAAGAAGCTAGAGTCGCACTCGGCTATCGCCTCGTGCGACCCTTATGCTTCGTTCGTGCTTAGAAACCTCCCGCGTGCATCCTTAACTCCATGGTTGTACGCTGCACGTTTACCATTTCTTAATTGAAGAGACGGTAAAAAACCAGCAATACGTCTTGAAAATAGCTTTTCGCCCCGGTGCAGTCCATCGCACGTACACGAAGTTCGTGCAAACAGAACGGACTCGCCTTAGTAGGCCAATTTAGCGACATCCTCATTTCACTAAATCTATTCGAGAAAAGCTTATAATAAGTATTTTTTTCTTCCTTGCGTAAAATTAGGCTTGTTGCTGGTTAAACCATACTGAAATTGCTAAATTTAATTTGAAGGGGAACGACATAAATCTGGCAGGCGTATGTTCTCCTCCAAGTATGGCAACAAGGTACAAATTGGAAGATTTGCATTTCTTCTATACAAAACATTTTATGCTATTCTGCCGATTGTTTTGCGCTGAGTTTGTTAAAGCGGAAGATTGATTTCGTTTGGTAACTGGTTGATCACTAGGTAGGATCAGACTGATTGTTTTCTTTGCTCCCTTCCCTCCGTCTTAACGTGCTTCTTTTCTTCCTTCTTTCTTTCTCTCTATTTTCAAAAGTTTGTGCAAGCCCAAATAAAAAAGGACGGTAGTTTTTTACCAATGGCAGTGAATAAATAATAACTAAATAAATGGGCAAATTCATTACTTTGGCTTCGTTCTCGTTTATTTACAAATTGTATAAATATACTATCTAAATACAACTTAGTTTTCATATAAATATATTAACATGTCATAAAATAAAGCAGAACGTGACGAACGTACCTGATCATTTTGTCTCAAGATTTAAAATACCAAGCAAAAGAATACCTGTAGTAAATATTTTAAACCATATATGACGACAAATCTCTAAAGCTGCGATTTTTTTGTATGCGTACTGCGCCAAACGTTAAGGTTCAATTAAAGCGTGACCTAAAACGTCGACTCGGGGTCGGGGTGTTTTCGTTTGTTTTATCCTGTTTTTCTCCTGAACAAACCATATATTAAAAAACAACAAAAATTAACTCCCATCTTGCGCGGCGTTTTACTGACAACCTAATAATAACAGAGCTGAAGCAGAGACTTTTTGGAGTGACGGACGTCAACCGGAAGTAATGCCTTTCCTCTTCTAATATGCCTTGAAGCTACCAATTTTGTATTGCTACCCGTCTTTACTCTTCTGGAGTAGATTTGCCTGACAAGTTGGGCAAAACCACTGCCCAAGAATGCAAAAAAGTCCATTTCCAGTTGACGCACGTCGCTCAAACCGTCTTTGCTTAAGCTCGTTTATAACGTGGCGCAAACGCGATGAAGAGCATAAATAGAACTTGAACTTCACCTTCCAGATTAATTTTTCGCGCGCTAAGTGTCAAGGCAACAGAAAACATTTTTATCGGTTAATGGATTACGACAAATTTAAAACGTCTCAATCAGTATTCGCTCACAAACGACTTCGTCCCAAATATTACATAATTAAGAGATCTCTAAGAATTTACACAGCTAGACAGCTAGCTCAGATTTAAGACGAGAACGTTACTATATGCTATGCAATTGTCTTTCTTTATTTTCACTTTGTCTTTTGCCTTTTCAAATCAAATTGCCGATTTCCTAGACATAGATAGTTCAGCCCAGCTTTCAAGACCATGAATATGGGCTTTTAAATGAAATAAAAGATTTTGACAGCTTTAAACGTTTATGGTCTTTCGAATTCTTGTCCGTACAGAGGGTCGTTTATGACAACAAAAAACAACAATTTCGTAAACAAACAAAACAAAGTTGTATAGAAGAAGAGTAATTCAGCAGCAAAAAAAGAAGTGCGGAAATTTGTTCCACAACAAAAACAGCTTTTTGAACGGGTTGTTATTTTGTAGATTAAATGCATTTTTTGCAATCATCTATATCACGCTACACAGAATTTTTGCAAAGACAAAAAGGACCTTGCGATAGGCAACAGCGCGGCAAAGGAAGCGTAACCTCTGAACGTTTAAAGGATAAGTTCCACGTCCTTCCAATATTGAGCGTTTTTGGATAGCGTTCACTACTCTTACTTCAACTAAGGTTATTTCTATCAGAGATTAAGAAATGTCATTTACGAAGAATTAAGTGAAACTGTACAAGGATCACTAAAGGGTCCCGCCCGCTCATATTCGTCAACTGCACGTACAGAGAAAAAATATTTGCTACCGGAGGAAAATTGTGTCAAGGTACACGCCATGGGAAGCGGAAGTGACTTCACAATTCCAATCTTCTTCCACTTGATTGGTTGCCCGTCTGTTTCAGTAAGATCCTGACACGCAAATAGTTCGTAATTGTCAACGTTAATCTCTGCTTCGTCATATTCCATGTTCCACGAAAGTACAATGCTACTGCCCATCACGGCAATAGACGCTGACGGCTTAGGCATTGACTTTTGTACAACTCCTTGGTTCACCGTGCCTTGCTTTGCGTTCGTTGGAACGCTTGATGCTGTCGCATTTTCGGTAGCTGGTCTTTGTGCAACTTGAGAATGTCTCTCATTAAGAAGATCGCTTGAGGAAATGCCAGGGGACTGGATAGGGGGCCTGTGTAGAGACTGTAGGGTCACATCGCCGTTTGTGGCTTCACTCGTCAGTGAATGTTCTTGATGTTTTTCCTGAGTTGCGTTTGGCAGAAAATGACTTCTAGAGGTCTGAGTCTGTTGGTTTTGCTTACGGTATGCTTGGGGTGGCCTTTTTTCTGGCACGGTGAGAATCGGTTGATACCCAGACCGAGTAGCGGCTTGGTGATGGGACTGTACTGCTGGGGTTTGTCTTGTGGTTATTATTTGTGTTGGCTGACTAGGGCGTTCTTCTAGTCTGTTTGGTGACCTACTTTGGAAAGATTGCATCTGGGACTCCTGATTGGCTTTTGGATGCTGAGAGGTACTCTCGAATTGCAATTGTTGTTGCTGAAGCAAATACTCAGGCGAGGGCAGTGCTATTCTGTAGCCAGATGGTAGAAAGCTTTTCTTGTCCAAGTGCATTTTTCGAGCACGCACCAAAACGCCGCTTTTCTGCATACTTTGGATATCAGGTTGAAACTGATTATAGGTTGATACCGTTGTAGAGGACGCTCCCCCAGGAACTTCTCGTCGAATTCCAGTTGAGCCATGAGCAATGTCGAAACGATTGTGATTTCGAGAGGAATAATCTGGAGTGACAATGGATTCTTTCTGGTAATTGGCATTCAGAGCAATTCTTACGGCTGCAGTGATCTCTCTCCTTTCTGAGGTTTTACCAACGTGGGCCCTGGTACTTGCCAGAAGGGGTGAGCCGGGCGAGTTGCCACAAGAACGATTTACAGGTTGATTTAACTTTTCGCAGACTGGGGTGTTTGAGTTGACCAGGTTTGACCGCTGATTGCTAGGGTTCCTTATAGAAATTTGTTCCGAAGTCGTAGAATAAGAAACAGCAGTTTGGTGGCCATTGTTGGGATTTCTGGGTTTCGCACTAACCAAAGAAGGAGGCACAATAGGAGTAGGTGCGACTGAATGTCTTTGTATTGGCTGTGGCGAAGGGTCTGGCTGGCGTGCACAGGGTGCTGACTGCGGGGAAAGTTGCCGATTTTGCATTTGTTGATAATGTTGCTGTTGCTGAAGCTGCTGTTGACGTTGTAATTGTTGTAACAGGGAAGCAGTTGTTTCAGATGGAATAATAACACGCTGCGGTGCTAGTGGTTTTGACGTGTGTGGTAAGTCACGCTGTTGCTGCAAGAGTGATCTTGCTTGGGTTACGAACACTTGACTTTTATTGATCCTGTCTAAGTTGGGTTTTGTTTGAGAACGTGACTGAATGGGAGATGCTACCCTAGTGGGTGACTCTGTCTGCACAAGTGGTTGAGGTTGCGGGTATGGGTTTTTTACTGCTTGTCCAAGTTGTGTATATCTTGTTTCAAGTAATCTTCTTTCACCCTCTGGTACCTTATTTCCCTGTTGGGTAGCGTGAGCCTCTGACGGCCGAGGCGATACCGTGAAGACTACCGTAGTCTCTTCCGATACCAT